TATTAAAGAAATCAAGGCAGGTGATCTGTTTCAAACATTGCCTTCTTTCTCCGGTTGTAGTTAGTGCTTTCCAGGATCTCCAGGTCTCCACTCTCAGGGTAGAAACATATCTAAGGCCTTAGTAGTACATGGACGACATAAAGGACTAAAAACCGCACTGATGATGAGATCGTCCTTTTGATGCTCAGATAGGAGTCAGACTGGGCGAAAGAGAAACTTGACATCCAAATGATTTGGAGTCGGGCCATGTTACCCCATCCAGCGCTGAGCACTTAGGTGCGCCCTGCAAGCGCTTGTTAATAATGTGCTACATTCTCATACTCTTGATATCAAAATGTCATACTCATATTTTGTCATACTCTGAATATAAGTTTGAATAAAGTCATAAAGAGATCTGTTATTTGGTTAACTTTCAGACTCTTTGTTTGATTCTGCAATTTAAATAATCATGTAGTTTGCTTCATAAATAGATTAGGAAAGAATTCCCAGAGACACTTCAAGGAGACCAAATGTTTGCCTTTTAAATATAGTCACTAATATTGTAATAACTGTGTATGGTACGAGGTGGGTACTTGAAATATCAGGGCAATCACTGTAAAGTATGTGATTGTCTAACCACTGTGCTGTACTCCTGAAACTAATACAAAATAACATAGAATGTCAACTGTAATCGAAAGATGTTGATAAAATTTTTAAAAAGTGCTTTTTGGCTCCTCCCGTGTGTCTGTTACATGTACATCAACACTCGAAACACGGCCTCTGTGCAGAGAGGCCCCTGCAGTGTTGCTAGGAAACCCTGTAACTACTTTGTATGACCTTGAGATTTTAATTCATTTCCAGTGTAATACATTGAAGAGCAGTCAAATGTTTGAAACGTCTTTTGGAAAAGACATACTGAAAGCCATTTAAAAGTCTGTTTAAAATTTCTTTAGCAATATACATGTTAAAAACTTCTCAGTATAAAGCAAGAATAGGCAACCACCTCTCTTAAAAATCTCAGTTCTCAAAAAACATCGGCAGTTGACAGTTTGGTATATAACTTTCCAGGTTATTTTTATACATATGTAACTGTTTCCTTAGGTGCTTTTTGAAGATATTTTTTATCTGTCGATTAAGAACAAAGGATACTATTACATAAACTAAGTTGTGTTTTATTCTAATGACTTGTGTAGGTAGAAATATTGAAAGCAGGGTTAGGGTTTGATTCTAGACACATTTAAATATCTTTTGTCCTTAAAGTTTTTAATTTGAGTTTTACAAAATAAAAACCCTAAAGTGTACAGAATAAGCAGAAAGTTTTAATTGTTTTTTAATAGCAAATTTTCATTTTCATCTTTACCCCCATAGTTTGGGCCTATGCCTTTATTCATTTTGGAATGAAGTTTTCATTCTGGAGTGTACTCAGATTGTTTTTATCTTACCTAATACATAAAGTGTTACTACCAAGATCAATTAAATACAGGTGACAAATCGTAGTAGCTATAGGAAGCAGATCTTCAAGTAGCAGGAGTAGTCTGAGGCTGGCAGACTACTGCTCTTTCAGCATTTCTGAAGTGGATCAAATTTATAATCTAGTTACCAACTCTTTTCTACTAATGTGCAAGGAGCTGCAACAGGACATAGAGGCACCCACAACTCTCCCAACCCTGATGGAGCTAATAATGATTTAATGATTTAATGCTAAATCATTAAATTTGGAGCTGATTTAATGCTAAAAATCAGCATTAAAAAAAAAAACCAAGGTAGCCCTGGCAGAAGTGGTTCAGTGGGTTAGTACCGGCCTATGAACCAAAGAGTTGCTGGTTCAGTTCCCAGTCAGGGCCCGTGCGTGGGCTGCAGGCCAGGTCTCCAGTAGGGGGTGCGTGTGAGGCAACAACACATTGATGTTTCTCTCCCTCTTTCACCCTCTCTTCCCCTCTCTAAGAACAAATAAATAAAATCTTTTAAAAAATAAAAAAAACAAGGTAGGTGCTATGGGCAGAAGGTAAGCTCATCAACATCTAGAAGCTATGACAAAACCATAGCTCCTACCTTAGTTGGCTTCACAGTAAAGTTTATCAAAGAAAAATATCCAGAATAGTATATGCTAAGGTAAAAAGGGTGATATGGATGGCATAAAATAAAGTACATACCGTGAGCATTTGTAGAAAAACAGAAATCAGTGTAGGCTGGAGAAGGAGAAGGATGCTACCTTGGTGAATGAGTTTATTAATAATGATATAAAATACGTATTCAGAGGATTGGATATCCAGGAGAAACGAGGTCACACATAAATATCAAATCACATAATTTTAAGTGGAAAGAAATATGGGTATAAAGTTCAGATTGGAGTAGAATGGACATTTTTGCCAATATTGAGTAGTCCATTTGGGTTGAATAGGTGGATTTGGATGGTGTATCATCAGTCTTTGCTGTGTGACAAACCTACCCGAACTAGAGAGACTAAATATAAAAACACATGTTAGTTCCTGATTCTGTGGGTTGCCAGTTTAGTCCAGACTTAGAGGGGAAGTTCTGGGCTCACTCGCGGCCTGTGGACAGCTGTCTGGACCACAGGGGAGTCTACGGAAGCTGCATATTGGGCAGTTGCCGCTGTTGGTCAAACACATCAGTACTCTTCCATGTGGTAAGTTCACTTGGTGGCAGGGGTTCGAGAGGGCCAGAGAGGGAGCAGCGAGGTCTCGTGGGGCAGCACTCATGCTATAATCTGTTGGTCAACAGGCCAGCCTTTGATTTAAGGGGGCACAGAGTCTGTGTCCAGTTTTAATCTGCTGTTTAAGGAGTGAGTGCTCTTAAATGTGATCAAAAGCTTAAGATGGTGCTTAAATGTAAATGGTCTTGACTGTAACTTGGCTTCGCTTTCATTTTCAACCTTTTGGCTTCAACTTTATTAACTTTTTAAAAAGAATCCTCACGCAAGGATATGCTTATTGCTTTTAGAGAAAGAGAGAAAGGAAGAGAAATATCGATATGAGAGAGAACATCATCAGTTGCCTCCCGCACATAAACCCACAACCTTTGGGAGTACGGGACTGTGCTTCACCCAACTGAGCCACCGGCCAGGGCTATTAACATTCTATTACAAGTGACAGTCAGTGTGCTAACAGAAAGGACCGTAGGGTGGCTAGCAACTTAATTCTTCATTTGTGGTTTATTCTGTCAGAATTTTTTATGGAGAATTAGGATTTGGATTTACTTACTCCAGATTTCTCTCTACTGCTTTTATTTTTATGGTGAGAGCAGAGGAAGAGAAGGGAGAGAGCCGGAATCTGTGTACCATCATCTTAGTGCTTCCGGCCTCCTCCTGTTCATTGTCCAGCCCTGGAAGTTGGTCTTACTGAAATCTGCTGTTTAGTTGAAACTTTGGTTCTGCGTACATTAGATATTTGAATTATACATCAGAAAATGTCATCTAAAAGTGCTATGTAAACTTTTAGGGTGTAAATAGTAAAAAAAAATTAAGGTTTGTGTGATAGTTCATTTATACACTAAATCTTCATTATGTACCAAGTTAGCTTGTTGGAACCTCAGTCTTCTCATAGGACATAAGTTGTGAACTGACCTCTGTTTACATGTAAAAGCGTATGAACAAAATTGCTTTTTTTTGAAAAACACAATGTGAATTGATTAAACTTGGTGTTTTTACTCTTACACAGATCAAGAAATGGTGCCATTTTGCTCACAGGTTATATTTACCTTTTAGGCGTATAAAAGATAATAGTTTTGTTGTAAATCATTACAGCCAAGAGACCTATTATTTTAAATGTTTACTTTTTTATTCAATGTATTAGGGTGACATTGGTTAATACAAGTATATAGGTTTCAAGAGTACAGTTCTGTAGTACGTCATCTGTATATTGTATTGTGTGTTCATCAGCCCAAGTCAAGAAGAAGGAGACTTGTTTTAGTTCTTACAATGTTTCAGTGGGACTAAGCCATCTCTTTCTTGACAAACTCAATCAGAAGAGTATCTCGGAATTTTTGTTTGGGGCTCAGGACATCTTATTTTGCCTTTTATATATTTTCCAAGTATTGCTATTTAACATTAATTTTCCTTAAGTGTGATCTAAATGGAAGTGTTATACAAATTTCAGAATGTTGGAATTTTAAGATGTGTTTTTTTGAATTTATAATAAATATGACTGATTTTTCAGAAGGACAATAGAAAGGAATGAAGGAAATCTCTTAAAGATAATATTAATATCCACTATTTGGTAAATTTAAACTATGTAAATTGACAGCTTACCCCTTCTTGAATTGTTGTCAAAATTTATTGCTTAGAACTAGACAACATCTTTTTCCCAGTTCTATTGAGATGTAATGGACATACAGCATTGTGTAAGCTGAAGATGGTCAGCGTGATTTGACATGTGCATATTGTGAAATAATCACAATAAGTTTGGTTAACATCCATTAGTTCATATAGACACACACAAAGACAAAAAAAGAAAAAGATTTCATTTTCTGGTCGTGACAACTCTTCAGATCTACTCTCTTAGCTTAGAAATATTTTAAAGCGTTTAATGAAAGTTACAGAGTCAAATTTAGTAAAAATGTAGAATTAAAGAAAGCTTGGCAACAAAATGTGTCAGAATTCTTCGGCACGTGTCCCAGTGGCGGGGCCTTCCCAGCGTGTGTGTGGCACCCAGGCAAGCGTGAGGAGTGTGGCCTTGAGTTTGAATGACACAACCTCTCAGAGACTCGAGCTTAATTCAGTTTTAAACAACTGCTTGGATATAAAGCACCCTCTACACATAGGAACGTATATTCCTATAAAGTTGGCAAATTCACAGTGCTCTGCCAGGAAATTTTATTGAATAACATAGATATTGTCATTCTACTTGTATAAAGGCACAAACTAAAAACCAGGTGCCACTGAGTTTGGACTCTTGTCCTCTGGTCCCATGTCACCTCCTGTTTCCACCACATCCTGTGTGCCTTCTCAACAGGCTGGTGCGCTGTGTGCAGACATTTAATCCATGTGCGTATTTTTTCCCCAGATGTGACCAGCAGTTTGAGTATCACCAGTCCTGAACACATGATTGAAAAGGCCAAAGGGGAAACTGCCTATTTGCCATGCAAATTCACCCAGAGTCTGGAAGACCAGGGGCCCCTGGACATTGAGTGGCTGCTGTCACCAGCTGATAATCAGAAGGTGGATCAAGTGGTAAGTTTGCGGAGTGCTCGCCCACTCAGCAGATGTTTCTGGAACTTGTCTTCGGTGCCCATCACTGTGCTGACCACAAAGGTGTGTGGAGCATGACTTGTGAACCTTCCGAAAATCTGGATTATAAAGTGCAGGTATGTCAGAAAGTTGTGGAGCTAACATGATAGCGTGGCGGAAACATGCGTGATACGTGTTAAGGAACAGTGAGTAAGCTGGACTTTTGAAAAGTTGATAGCATTGCATTTTTCAGTTTAGCACAAGGATTCTGATACCAGTAAGAGTCATTGGGTATAACAGTACACAGCACAGTTACATGCTGTTGCATAGTCTGTTCTGTGTTATTTCAGGTAAACACCCTGTGTACTGAATTTCTTTAAAAGCAAAGCAAAGTGTTCCAAGCAAAACAGCAATTTATGAAATATTTAGTACAAGTTTCAAAAATTAAATATAAAAATATTGTTACAAAAAATTTTTACTTACAAAGTAATAAGAGCCAATGTAGAAAACTTGGAAAGGCAAAAGTAGCCCAAAGGAGGAAAATCGCCTCCTTTTTAATTGTACCAGAATAGTTTACTTAATTTAGAATCTTGTGTATTAGCTTCATCTGACACATTTAATTAAAAATGAACTCAATGTTAATAAATTATATTAGATCAGGGAGAGAAAAATAAGTCTACATATTAGAGGAATATGATAATTCAGTTGGATCTTGGACAGCCCAGGTTTGAACTATGCAGGTTCACTTATATGTGGACTTTTTTCAATAATGCTCTAAATGTATTTTCTCTTCCTTATGATTTTCTTACTAACATTTTCTTTTCTCTAGCTTACTTATTGTAAGAATATAGTATACGGTACATATAACATACAAAATATGTGTGAATTGACTGTTTCTGTTATAGGTAAGGCTTCCCAGTCAGCAGTGGGCTATTAGCAGTTAAGTTTGGGGGCAATCGAAAGTTATGTGGAGATTTTCAACGGAGGTGTGGGTATTGGTACCCTTAATGCTCATGTTGTTTGAGAATCACTTGTGTGTGCACGTGTGTGTGTGTGTGTGTGTGTATTTAGAAGAGAAATTTTAGTTTTACTTTTGGTCCACATAAAAGAAAGGGTTATTCAGCCATTTAATGGCTGAACAGTGCAGTTAAACAATTCCTATTTATTGGCATGTTCTCAGGCAGTTTGCCCATGATGTAATTGTAAAGGAAATCATTAAGGTGCTTTCCCAAGTTCAGAGTGACTAGGGCCACACCCTCCAAAGGCATACCTTTGCCCTGATTCTGCTCCTGGAAGTTCTTTCCCTCTCCCTAAGCAAAATAAATTGAAATTGACTCACTCTGTCTGCTCAGCCCAGACACCCTGTTCCCTTTGCCCTTGCCTTGCTCTTCCCCCCCTCTCCCCTGCCACAGTGGGGCCAGCACCCAGACTACAGGCTTCTATCCAAGGTCCTGTGTGCCCTCATGCCCTTGGCAGTGCAGGGTCCATCTCCCTTTCAAGTCCAGGACTCCACTCGTGGTCAAGATGAATAGATAGGGCAGGTGTTAAATGCCTCTGGCTTAAGAATTATGAGTGAAGCCATAACCAGGTGCTTCTTAGAGACCAAGACACCCAGTGTGTGTCTGTAGTCTTGTGTGTCCACTCATGGGAGGGGGACCTGTTGAGTGGAAGACACGGCCTTGCTTCCCACAGGACTATGGATTAAAAAACTAGCCTCCTGGTGTAAAACACAGTAAAATCTGGTTGGAAGAAAGCAGGCAGGTTTAGGGAGAGACTGGCGCCGAAGAGAATGCTCTCCTCGACTTGAGCGACATTATGTGTTAGCTAAGCCCTTATTTTAATATATTTACGCTAGTAGGCAGTGTGGTGGGGGACTGGGCTGGAGCAATTTCCATCCTTCCTCCCTGTGTGATCTCTTTAGTCAGCAGACAGTCACCATGTACTGTGTCCTTACCGTGTGCTCTGCAGTGTTTCATGTACTGAAGTGACATATATTTAAGCCTTAAAACAGCACCCTAAAATGAGAGTTATTGTTTTTATGCATCAAGAGGACAAAACAGAGGTCCAGAGATCTGAAGGAACATGCCCAGAGTCACACAACTGGCAACATCACAGCTGTTGTTTGAACCCAGGTTTCTCTGACCCTCCCCCCCCCCCCGACCCGCACCTCGTCATCCTTGGCACCATCCGGTGCCGCCTCCCGTGTTTCAGAGCCATTGTTTCCTCCAATGGGAACTAAGACACCTACCTCTTAAGCCTGTAGTGAGAATTCACTGAAATGCTGTGTGCATAAGTATCTTGTCGGCCTACACGTCATCTCAGAGGGATGTGGTTTGCATCTTAGCCATGTGACCCTGCATGAGCTGATGTGTGAGCACTGCTGTCCTTGAGCTAAAGGAAAAAATGTGGACAGTACCACCACCCTGCGGGGTTGTGAAGAGGAATCAAATGCCTGGTAAACAGTAGTTCCGCATTTCCTAACGTTCCCCTTATTTATAACATTGCTTTTGTGGGAAAATATCAAGATAGTTTACAAAATATGTAGTTAACAGTGGGGACACGTCTCTCATTTGTCAGGCCCTCTTCTAAAGACTATGCAAGTGCGTGTGTAGCCAAGTGAGGGATTGAAAGTACAATAGATTGGACTTTCTGGGGAGTCCAGAGTTAAATACCAAAGGAGACAGGGCAGCCTCTGTTGAGGAGGTCTCGGTGTTGCTGTTGACACGTGGGTGTGGCGAGAAGGCAGTCTGGGCTGATTCCAGAGTTAGCTGTGGACCCTTCAACTGTTTACTCAGCAAACTGCGACTGAGTGCTTCCTAGAAGCAGACACTTAGTGTTTATGTAAATAAAAGGTCTTTAGTGAATTAAGAGTGGGGGTCAGCGTGGTGGTGGGGGGTAACAGTACAGAAAAGAACCCAAGTCCCCGCCCTCAAGAAATTCCTACATTTATTCTGATTGTACGGTCATTCCTAATTAACATCTGGGATAAAAAAAAGTTATTTGCAGAGTATAGACTGTAGTCTGTTTTCTGATTACTGTTTGATTAACACACCACTGGTCTTTGGGCCTTGGGTCACACATGACCAGAACAAAGGAAGGATTTTGTTAGCAAATGTGAAAAGATTATCTAGCATGTTAAATTAATTTTAGTTATAGTTAGACGTGACTCTTATACCAGTAATTCTCTTCCAAGTCAGGTTCACCTCAGAATTGATTTTCCCACTGGATTCAGCCTTTAGTGTTTCCATTAAAGCCTGTAACTGACCGGGGAAGCTCAGGGGAATGGGGGAAGGGCCTTTGCTCTTACTCACCGGGGTTCCCTGAGAGGTTCTGTTAGCCTGGGCATGCATCCTAGGAGGCTTATTTTAGGATTTTTATCTGTTAGGGTCTAGAATGTTCAAGTATGAACTGTTAACTCTCCAACGTAGCATTCAGATGAAAAATGTCTTTTTTGACTTTTGTTACATTTCATAGGTAAGCCCTCTTTTGGAAGTGGTGGTGGTGGTGTACTTAATTTCATACACTTGATCGGCGTACATACCGCAGCCTTGAGGTAGCTGACAAACAGATCGTACAGCGATTCACAAGCCTGCGTTCTTGTCCAGTTCCACTGATTCAACTCTAATTCGGGGCTGTATTGCTTAGTCGTATTGGGTCTTGGTTTCTGTGAAATGGGAATGCGACCACACTCCAGGACCACATTGGTGTCTTAACATTTCCTTAATCTTGCTTTCAATAATTGTAGGTTTTCTCATGATATGTGTTCCCGTTCTTTTGGGGGTTTGTTTTGTTTTGTTTTGTTTTTTATCCCATAGTAGGATAGTGTGTCCAGAGCACCTTTAATGAGACAGGTTTTGCCTTGTTGTTCTTTTCCTGTCTTATTTTGGTTTTCTTTTAGATTATCATATATTCTGGTGACAAAATTTATGACGACTACTATCAAGGTCTAAAAGGACGAGTGCATTTTACAAGCAGCGATGTCACATCTGGTGATGCATCAATAAATGTAACAAATTTACAGTTGTCAGATATTGGCACATACCAGTGCAAAGTGAAAAAAGCCCCTGGTGTGGGAAATAAGAAGATTCAGCTGGCTGTTCTTGGTAAGTTATTTTCATTAATGTTACTTATTAACAGGGCGAGCGGTCACGGCAGGATAGTAGCAGCATTTGTGTGAGACAAAGCTTCATTTTTAAGAGTAATAATTTTAAACATTTGAAGTAATGCTATATTTTAAATAACATTTAAAATGTAAAGCTAGCAGACTTTTTTTGGATAGACAAAATAAGCGAGCAGCTTATTTGCAAAGTGGATAAAAGAGTTTGAAAGTAAATGAAAAGGCTCTGTGATACAGGAGAAGAGCCCCAAGCTAGAAGTTAGGGGATCTAGGTTTTGTTTCTCTTTTTGTTTTTTGTGCTGTCCTCAGATTTGTCCCGAGAATTAAAGAGCACCTTCATTTCCTGGGCTCCAGCCTACCTTTGTAAAACATTGCCTGTTGTAATTATCATTAAATCGATACTTGATCTCATTCAGTTCAAAATTGTTGTGCGTACCAAAAACTTTTTCAAATTGCATTGCCCAAAGAATAGATGAGGTTTCCATGACGACTAATGAGAGTACTATACTGGAGGAGGTGGAGTATGGTAGAAGAAATATTGAATCGGGATAATACCATTGCACATCAGAGTCATTTATCCGCCATGAGAGCATCACAGTCTTTCATCCTGAAAGTAAGGGGATTTGCCACATGGTCACTCAGGGTGGATATCCTGTAGCTCTCTCTAGGAGATAAGTGTAATGATTTTATAAACTCTCTAAGACTGGAAAGTTTATTGCCCCTCTCTGAAATCAAGACAGGTATCCCCCACATCAACTTCTCCCTCACTCCTTCCGTTTTAGAGAACTAATTAGGGGGGTTAAGTATATTGGGTTCCAGACTCATTTTGTACATCACTCTCTCCTAAAGAATGACTGTCTGCGCAGGAACAAGAGTAGATTTCCGTGTGCTGCAGTGGCAACGTCAGGGGTTGTCTTGGTTGGAAAAGTGGTCTTCCGCTGGCAGCATCGTTAGTGGGCACACAAGGGTCCTGGTAAAGGTACTTCATTCTAAATGACACCCATTCAAAATACGTTCTGTGGTATGAAAGCAAGTGAACCTGATCAAGAAACCAGGAAAAGGAATATTGTAATGTTGAAGATTCCAGCTTTCTGCATCTACACTCAGTGAGCATGGAGTTACCTTTCTTTTTGATAAATGTGAAGGCAGCTACAAGTTTAATAAGTTCTCTGAACTCATGTCTCAGACTCAGGCATACCTGGGATTATAACCCTGACTATATGTCTTCTTTGAACACTGCTCTCCAGAAAGCCCTGAGTTAAGGTATATATGGTATTTTAACTGGTTCACGATGTAGCAAACAGAGTATACCAGCTTATCAGATTTTTTTTATTGTGAAATCCCTGTTTGATGGGGGCAGGGATACTATGAGGGGTAAGATTGGCACATATTCCCAGAAGGGGTGTAAATGAGCTCGGTGTGTGTGAAAGAGAGAGAGAAATTGATTGATTCTGTAAGACCAGGTTCTGCATTGAAGTCACAGGTTTCCACTGAAGGGATCATTATAGCATGAGGCTGCTCACGACCCAAAAGGAACCAGGGTGGACATGGTATGGCCACACACACTGGTGGCAGCAGCCGTGACTGTCGGGCGGGAGGAATGGCTCTTTCACATTAAACGTCACAACCCCAACATTTAATTCCTTAGAATGGACCAGTGGGAAGCACTGACTCAGTAGCATCTTTTGTTAACTCTGTGGGGAATCACCAGGGCCAAGTAAACCCTGATTTCAAACCAGAGGGGAGACAGGAGGGTTAAATGAGATTAAGAGAAAGCAGGAAGTCACTTCTGAGAGCAATGGAGATGACTAATACTCGAGAGTTAGGACAGACTTGCTCACGGCACTCTCTTCCCTGTTTTTACGTGAGTCATGCTGTTGGAGAAACTAGAATTTTCTCTTGAAAGTGACACTTGGACGGAAGTGCATCTCTTAGCTTTTCCTGAAAATTCTGCTTAGGCAGTCTGTGGCGGGGAGACAAATGAAGTGCCCTTAGGAACCAGACTGAGCGCTAGTCCAGCGGAGCTCTTGCTCGGCTCCCTGTTAGAGGCTCTGCATGAACTTTGGTACGTTTGTGGGAAATCTGGAGGACACGCCACCACGCTGCTGTTTGCAGAGTAGTGAGTCATCGAGCCCCGTGCGTGGTTGTGGACATGAACCTGAGGTGACATGAACCGGAGGTGAAAGGCCACACCAGAGCCTTTCCCCGCAGCTCTGAAAGGGCCTGTTCCTGAGGCCTTTTGGTATAAAGAGGCCGGGTTGTTTAAAGGGAAGAGCACTCCTGGTGAACGGTTCCCGGGACATGGACCCGTGCGCTCAGACGGCACCCACACCGCAGGACACGTGACACCGCAGGACACGTGACACCGCAGGACACGAGGGCGCTGGCACGTGTGGGGGCTCAGTCAGCACTGGCCCTCGGAAGCCACTAGTGTAGGACAGGGCTTCTTATTCTGAAATAATCTGAGTTTTATAGGAAGTTCCAAAACTAGAGCGTTCCTGAGAGTGTACCCATCATCTAATATCTCCTGATAGTAACGTTTTACAGAAGTATAATACAATGATCAAAACCAAGAAATTAACTTTGGGACCATACTGTTAACTACAGTATAGACCTAGTTTGAATTTCACAGTTTTCCACTCACGTCCTTTTGTGCTACGGTCAAGTCTGGTACCCACGCGGCATTTGCATCTCCTTAGTCTCCTCCACTTGAGCCAAGGGACGCGTGATGTCGAGTCTCATTGTTAATCATGATCACTTGATGTGCATTTTATCTGATGGGTTAGTCCACTGCCAGCGTATGATTTTTCCTTCTGTAATTAAAAAAACTATCACGGGGAGCCACTTTGAGAACATACGGATACCTTGTTTGTCCTCAAACTTTGCCCATTGATTTTTAGCAGTGATGCATGGAGTTTTCCTAGAGCCGGTGTTTTGAACGAAGCAAAGTTAGCAACTTAGACACGGTGATAAAAGTGCACAGGGTAGGGTGAAAGTAGGTTTACAGTTTGCGTGGAAAATAATACAATAAATAATACAAGAATAAACTCTGTGTTTGGCGTACTCACAACTGTACACCTACTTTGCCCCACCCTGTGTGCCCTGTTCCGTACGGGGACTTAGGGTGTGTTTTCTGTAGACCGAGGTGGACCACTAACATAGAGGGGTGATGGTGCAATATGTATATGAAGCACAGCCTTACTTCATTGGTGGGCCATTGGCCAGGTACCCTTCCCTGAGAAGAACTATTATCTAAGCTAGTGATCATGGAGAAAGATGTTCTGAAGACAGTGGTCCAGGTATCCTGGAACACCAGACCAAAGAAACATTAGGGGATAAAACTTTGTTGTGTCCCTTTGTGGTTTTTTTTTTTTTCCAATCCAGACAAGTTACATGGATAAAGAGTGAGTCTTTCCTGTAGCACAATGGTTGGGATTGGAAAGCAGGGGGGGCTACTCCTGGGCGACACTCAGAAACCATTGTTGGCAAAGTCTTGTTCTATTTGTGGATGGAGTATGTTGCGATCTGAGACTCAGTGGGGCCTTGGATTTCCCAAGCAGTCACTTCAGGTAACTGCTCATTGTTGGATGTGTTTGGTGTATGGGAAAGGGTACCTTTAATAGAAGAGATGAGGGTTGGGGTTAATAAGCTCTATCACAGGTAGGTACTTGATGTACAAAGCAATGCTTTCATGTCCCACTGCTGGTTTATGTAATAAAGGATTTATTGGTAGTTTGTAGAAAAGAAGAACAAAGTTCATTTTGTTGAAGATTCACAGGATGAAATAATTTGCAAAACCAATTTAAATGTCCAATTCATATGGTCTCCAGGGCAACTGATCAACCTAAAAAAGAGAGAGATTTGCTTGGGAAATCAACAATGCAGTTAAATCCACTTGTTGATCCTTAGAAAAAAATACAAGTAGTAACAGATGAAGGAGAGAAATACCATCAGATTGAAAAATTATCAAGAAGTGGGTGAAGAGATGAGATCATGACTGACATCAGTGGTTAAAGATGCCCCACTGGCTATGATTGCTTCTGTTGGCCAGATTTGGAAAACAGTTTCTTTTAGAGCTAAACATACACACACCATAAATGATCCAGCAATTACTGAGAAAAGGAAGACATTCCAGTATTTACATGAGTGTTCCAGCAGTGTCATTCATAATTGTGTAAAACTGCAAAGCCCATTCACATTTATTCATTGTAGTAAAAGAGTAAAAACCCATCCAGGACTAAAAAGAATGAAAAGCAGTTCAGACTAAAAAAGAAAAAAAAAAGTCCTGCCATTTATCAGGCTGTGAGGACAGATGCAGATACAGCCAGTGGTGGAGTGTAGTGGGGACATGGTTTCTCCCAAGGTTGTGGAGCTGCAGTAAACTATGACTGTAGACAGATTACTGCTGTCTCCCCAGTGTCACCCCAGACCCACCTTGCACTACCCGTCCCACCCTGAGGAGGGTACACAATTGCTCAGTGGCCTTTGTCACCAGTTCTCCCAATCCAGCCTCAGAAACAGCATTAGATTCAGAGCCAATCTCTGCTTCTTTTAGAGTCTCCTAGAATCGTTCAGAACCCCTCCTCTCTCACTGCACTGACACCCCACAACTCCTAATAGTGCTTTCCTCACTGGTCAGTCAGTCTGGTTTTGACAAACTACACCCCTGCTCCTGGTCAGTTCCGTGAATCAGGCTTCAACAGTAGCCCCAAAAACTGGAATCAGTGTTCACTGACAGATGAGCGGATAGCTCAATTTATGTTGTAGTCCGTGGAACACAACTCAGCCATGAAAAGGAATGGACTTTTTAAAGAGACAATATGAATCCATTTCTAAAGCCTTACAATGAATAAGGGAAGCAAGACAAAAGTAATACTGTATCACTCCACTTCCACGACTCTAGAAGCAGCAGAACTAATCTGTGGTGATGAAAATCCCATGGGTGGCTCCCGGGGCCCAAGCCATGGCTGAGATAACTGCACCCGGCACAAGGGTGGCTTACGAGAGGATTGGGGTGGTATGCTTAACGGGGCGGGGAGCAGTGTACATGCATGTGCACGCAAACACATTTGTCGCACATGATCAACTTACACTATTAAAATGTGTCCGTTTTATTGTGTGTATATTATGCTTTAATCAAGTTCAGTAAGAGTGTGAAATGCCAAGGTGTTAATCCAGTGTTGGGGTGAATTTCAGGTAATGGGGTTAACAGCTTCTCTAACCAGTGACCCAGAGAGACCTGGAATATAGCCTCAGATTTGTTTTTGTAACACTGCTCTCTGGATGGTTTGGGGTTAATGGAATTGTGGCATATTAATTGGTCCTTAATTTCACCAAGTGAATTGTCCCTGTTAGCAGCATTATTTATTATAAATCCCCTGACGGGCATGGTAATGGCACCAGAGGGATGTGACGTGGCACATACTCCCATGTCAGGCACGGAGTAGAGGGACCGGTTAGGAATGGAGGGGAAGAGGCCTGCTTGCTTTCCTGCGTGTCCCGTGCAATCAAGGGGCACAGAGCCGCACCTGAGACCCTGCCATTCCTCCCCGTGCGGGGGCTGCTTGCCAGAGCCCAGTCTTGCCAGTTTTGTGTTGGACAAAGCTGGGAAACTGTTGCTGACACCGTGCTGTGGTCTTTCCGTCTTGTCGGTGGCGCTGAGCCTGGATCACGCGATGACGAGTCAGGGGTTGTGCAGCCTGCTCCATGTTTCCTTGTAAACATAAATTCCATTCTTTGGTGTAGAGTGATCATTTCTTTTCTTTTCTCAGTTAAGCCTTCAGGTACAAGGTGTTATGTTGACGGATCAGAAGAAATTGGAAATGACTTTAAACTGAAATGTGAACCAAAGGAAGGCTCACTTCCGTTACTATATGAATGGCAAAAATTGTCCAACTCACAGAAACTGCCCCCAGCGTTGGTAACAGGTACTGCTGATGAGATAGTTCGTACAATGTGCCACTGATTTGGACTTAAACCTAATGGGGGGCGCATGCGAAAATGTATTTTTTTAATCCCCAGACACTTTCCCCTTTCTATACAGAGCAATCAGGATTCATGGAAATTATTCGGTGTTTTATAATGACAATTTACTGTCATGTAGTATAAATAGATATATTTTTATAACAGTTTCACCATTTTGGAAATTATAATTGGTTTCTTTGGAATATATATATTTAATTGATGGCAATATTGACAAAAACATTCATGATTATAATTTAATGACTAAATTGTAGCAAGTGTTGGATCTTAAAAGTTTCTTGAGCTTAGATTCATGTTGAAGATACTATAATTTACCCATGGTGTTTGTTAAAACAAAACAAAAACATCTCAAAAACACCTCTGTGACACTAACTAGAAAGTTACGAATTGGTTAAATCTGATTGCTCGCTGTGTTATAACTGACCTGTTATTCAAACTGATCTATACTCTCCCCACCCTGGCTAGGTAGGAGTTCTCTCAGCCTCTGTTTCTTTTTTTAAATTAGGACACAAACCATATGACCTGACTTTTTTCATGTATTTCTTTCCTCTTGGGGGTGGATGACATGGCTTTTGCAAATCTTCCTACTGCACCAAAGAGCCTTTGTGGCATGGAATATTTTTTATAATATGGCTCTGCTTCAGCTGAGACTCTATGGGTGGAGGGGGAGGTCGTGTTATTTTTGCCTCGATGCAAATTACCTGGAGGCACAGTTGTTTCCATTCTGGAGACGTGCGTGTGTCTGTCTGGCAGCTGGTTCTGTACCCAGCTTCAGCCTGTCACTTTCACCTGGATTGTTCAACTTACCAGGGTTTTTACCTTTACTGAAAACTCAGCTCTCCTGTAAAAATGGGCTTTGCTGTGCCCTGCCTTTCTTTTCCTAGAAATGACTTCACCTGTCATATCTGTGAAAAACGCCACTATGGAGTACTCTGGGGTATACAGTTGTACAGTCCGCAACAGAGTGGGCTCTGATCAGTGCGAGCTGCGCCTGGATGTTGTTCCTCGTAAGTATCTTCTTTCTCTTTATGGTGATAATGTCCGTTTCCCTTATCTCTGTATAGCCCCCTTTGGTTCAGTCCGTGAGGGTATAATGAGGACAAGTGGATGCAAATTGTGAGCAAAGCACTTCATGGTTTGGTTATTAGCTTTCATAAGTGACAAAAGGAAAAATTACATTTTATGAATGAAACGAAACCTTCACTATTGTAGTACCATTAAGAAGATGAGTTGGCAAATCAACTCTTACACCATATTTTGCCATTACATTAATAAGTATAAACTATTCGGAACATTCTTTTATGCCAACTCAGGTAGCTGGGAATAGTAAAGTCTTTTCATCCGGTTTGGTTGCATTTATGTTTGAAATAGATTCTACAGTTCAGAAGAAAGTTCTTTGGTGGATTTTCCCCCGGACCAAAACGCTAATTAATTTGTCCTTAAAGTTAATACGTGAAATGAAATCAGTCTATCCGTGTGTATCCTTATCTTCAACATGACTAAGTATGGTATATTATTATTATTTTTTTACGACCATATTGTTCTAGCTTCAAATAGAGCTGGGACAATTGCAGGAGCTGTTATAGGAACAATGCTTGCACTGGTGATCATCTTTCTGATCGTCTTTTGCTGTCATAAAAAGCACAGAGAAAAAAAATACGAAAAGGAAGTTCATCATGATATCAGGTAATTAAGTAGCATGAGAGTTGACTGGCAGATCAGCCCTTCCCAAGATCCTGTCCCAAGCCCCTGTCCAATTCTGGACCCTATTTTAATAACTACTGCATATTGGCTCATCTCACGACTGTCTTCCCCAAATACAGTGCTAATACGAAGTTTTCAACAACAACAAAAAAAGAACAAGATGTTGAGGTTTTTAAAAAAAGACCTGATTGTGCCCTGGCTGGTGTGGCTCCATTAGTTGGAGTACCAGTCTATAAACCAGAAGGCCATGGATTGGGTTCTGGTCAGAAAACGAACTGCGTTGTAAGTTCAGTCCCTGGTCGGGGCACATACTCAAGGCAGCTCATTGATGTTTCTCTCTCACATTGATGTTTGTCTTCCTCTTTCCCTTCCTTCCCTTATCTCTAAAATCAATAATATGCCCTTGGGTGAGGAACTAAAAAAAAAAGACCTGATTGTATCAAGTGAGATAAGTAGTAATTTTTTTAGCATTCTAAACCAGTAGGTCTTAACCACAAGTATGTGTTGGATTATAGAACTTTAAAAAATAACAACATATGACTTAAGTAACACCCAGGAATTGACATTTGGTGGGTGCGGGGTGTGGTCTGGGCATATGCAGTCTGTATTTTTTAAATGGCACCAGAGGTAATTCAGGTAGATATTCTTTGTCAGTTTGTGGCCTAAAATTTCTTATGCCTGAATTCCTTTTTTTTTTTTTTGCAGACTTGAATCTGCTGGGTATTCAGCTAAGGTCTTAGATAAGTAACTTGCATAACGGGAATTTTTTTCCTACTTTTGGTATAAATATATCTAGGTATTAGTGCTTTATCAACTATAAAGTGTTATATGACTCAGATTATTTTGATCAGTTGTACTGGAATATGAAAATATTTGAGGTCTGTTCCTTGTAAGACAACATAATAGAATCCTAAATTACTATAAAAACTACCTTTTAGTACTCATGAGGATAGGTACTCTGTAAATCATAACTTTGGGAGAAACACACAGACACAGTTGGTGACATTGTGTTTTACCTCTCTTGCCTTTTTGTGTGCCACACACTTTTTTTAAAAAGATTTATTTATTCATTTTTAGAGAGAGGGAGAGAAACATCAATGTGTGGTTGCCTCTCATGCATCCCCTGCTAGGAACCGGCCTGCAACCCAGGCATGTGCCCTGACTGCGAATCAAACCATGACCCTTTGTTTCGCAGGCCCGCGCTCAATCCACTGAGCTACACCAGCCAGGGCCCCACACACACTTTTACGTACTTAACCCTTAAATAGTGTCCACCCATGAGTCATAGGTTACTAAACTGTAGGTTTCCAGAAACTTATTCTTGGAGCTTTTATTGGGATCTTTGCTTTCCAGGGAAGACGTGCCTCCTCCGAAGAGCCGGACATCCACCGCCAGAAGCTACATGGGCAGCAATCACTCATCCCTGGGGTCCATGTCTCCTTCCAACATGGAAGGTTATTCCAAGACTCAGTATAACCAAGTACCAAGCGAAGATTTTGACCGCGCTCCTCAGAGCCCGACTCTCCCGCCTGCTAAGGTAGCTGCCCCTAATCTCAGTAGGATGGGAGCGGTACCTGTGATGATTCCAGCACAGAGCAAGGACGGGTCTATAGTATAGCATCTCTGTGCCTTCCAGCTCTGCACTCCAGGCCTCTCTTCTTCTGTCGAAGTAGGAAAATCTGTTCTGTTCCAAATGTCGCTACCAGCCTCAGTAGATCAAAAAGTGAACCAGAAACTGTAGGAAATACCTTCCAAAAAGTTTCGTGTGGTTATATCAAATTAGTAAAGGCATTAAAGCTACTAAAGACAAATTTGCCATCTGAAAACGATTTCCTTTAAGAGATTGACTTTGTGGGTTTCTAAATATCAATAGTTAGTAAGATGTAGCACTTTGGATATGAAATCATAGAGGAAGAAATTGGTGAACTTTCGTGCACACCAAGTTGATACTTGAATCATCGAAAAGTGGGGCTTTATTATTTCTACCATTATTTTTAGGGTCCCTTTCTCAATTTATGACTGAAAATTGGTAAAGATACTTCATGACAAAAACTCTTACATACCTGTATGTTTGTTCTTGTTTTTATAGCTCCTTGGAAAACTCTAAAGATGTTCGGAATAGCTCTAATAACATTTAAAGAAAAAACACTACAGTGTTCTAAAAATGACTAGTGTACTTTTCAAGTCATTCATAGACCTTGTTTATGAAATGACTTGTTAAGTATTTGTTGATAAACTGTTTAGGCAACAGAGACATAGTGAGCTCTTTATATGCTAAAATAAAAGAGTATCTATGGATTTATTTAGCAAATTTGCTGTCAGCTACATAGAGCAGTGACACCAGGATTTCAATAGTGAGGATGGATTTCAGGGATGAGTGATCGACACCTGATGGCTTGCAGTCAGAATGGTGACCGGCCAGATCAAGGACAGAGTATTTTGCAGTTCCCAAATTAAGTACTGGTTCTCTGCGTTAGGTCTTATTTTCCAATACGAAAAAATTGTAACTCTTTTATTGTTTGACAGTCACAGGTTGAAATCTCCTCATTATTGGTTCCAAATTTTAAAAGGTTTTTACTGGTTCAGCATTTTGTTGCTGTTTTTTGGATGGTGTTGCATGTTGTGTGTCCTAGAAAAATGTCATCCCACATTTGCCTTCCTGAATGCAGCTCCTGGAGGACGTTTTCTTCCTGGACTTAGAATGACGAAAGACTCCTTAGGCCAGTGCCCTCCGTCAGTTCTGTATTCCAGGCACGGAGGATGCACAGTTGCTATTGTATGGCCAACATGTCTGTGTGTGGTTGCGAAAAAATCAAGTTGCGCTTTGAAAAGTTTGAGTCTTAGTTTTGTGAAAGTGATTTATTCTTAAAAAAAAAAAAAAAAAGAAGGAAACGAAAGGAAAAGGAGTAAAAGAATACTCCTAACTGCCAAATGTGTTAAATACTGTTTTAGTAGAAGAAAGTGAATTTATTGTATTTCCCTTAAGATTGTGAGGGAGTGTGGATATAGTAGTATGAGCCAACAATTTCTTTGTGGTAAATGAGGTCTGCAATAAATTATTTCACTAGCTCTAAAACCTTCTCCCTAGATTTTCTAGGGAGTTGGTTTCTGTTCATCTTTTTGGGTGCTGTGGTGGCTCATGCTGTATTATAAATTAATGTTGGCATGAATTTATGATTAGGAAGAGTATTATGTACATTTTTAATGGTAAATTTTAAGCTGAATGCCTGTGTAATGGATTAGTGTATAGTTTTACATATACGGAAGCATTTTTAAAATAGATGTTTAACCTTACGTAATACTGGTTTTCTACTTGGTGTTAACATTTTCATTTGTGCCTTTTGGGTAATTTAATTTTTATTATGAATTTCTGGTGCCTATGAGCTAGCTATCACCTAAAAGGTGCTTAGAGGTGAAGGTACTGCCCCTAAAAACGCATCACTGTGACGCTGTTCTATCCCCATTTTCAGTTTGCCTCCTCTTTTCTATTCTTCCTGGATGCAAGTTAGCAGATTGTGTTATTCATAAAGATTTTAGAATTTCAACACCCCTAATGCTCTTTTACTGTGTTTCTGATTTTATAACAGTAACTATTTTTGCACTCCAGATGTCTGGTCTGTTTTGTATAAATAAATTTTATATAATAGTATGAGAAATAACAGCACAAACTTTAATAAACAACTTTTGGTCTTTTCTATTAGTTTTCATGTAATGAAGATTATGCTATCAATGCGAGCAGAAATTACTACCAAAAAAATGGACATATGTAAGTTTTCCTGCCCTTAGGTTTTGTGGTTGGTCTAAGATTTAGCTATAAGTATGTCAGATTCTCTTCCAGAAGCGCTTTTTTTAGTTCAGGTCCATACCAGCTCTACCCTGAGAAACATGCTCATAAAAGCCGGTCATGTAACCTGAAGAGACACCTACTGGGCATGATGAAGTCCTGAAGGACAGAATTAAGTTTTAAACTATGTCTTCAGCTACTCTCATTGTGAATTTCAGTTAGTCCAACCGTCAGATAGTTCTGATTGACTTCTTAAGTAATTCTCACTGATATTTTCAGTTGAACCAGAGATCAAATAATTGTTCTAGAATTGTGACTGGTAAGCATCGAGTGATTCAACAAAAATTGTTATTCGGGCATTACCGTGAGAGCTTAACATCATCAGTCAAGGATGACACTGCATCTTTGAGGCAAAAGTAGGTGATTCCACTTTTACACCTAAGAGATGCGATGGCATCTTGTCGAGTCACACAGGATAACTTGAAGTGATACTGTACAAGATGTAGTTCTGTGCTTTGAATATATAGTTTGCAGGTATTCATTTTCTTGTTGGCAACTTTACTTAATATTCTCATTAGAAGGAAAACACAAAACAAAACCCTGCCATGGAATTGTTCCAATGGAAACACAGCCAGATTGTATTTTAGGGGAAGGTTAGTGAAACACAATTAGATTACTGGTATGAATTAATGTCTGATTTTTATTAAAGTGACAATTTTCAAGATTGAGTATTGTAAATTAGGAGTAAGCGAAGGGGCAAGTAAACATCTTGATTAAATGTAAAAAGAACTCATTGCATGAAGTTGGATATCAAATTCAATAACGTATGGCTTTTTAAAATAACCATTCTCTCTTTCTGTGAGTGCAGCATGTAAATTTGAAGTTATATAAATGTGTAAAGTTTTTTCTAATTTCTTTTCCTCTCCACAGTGTTTAGGGCTTTCAGATGCCTTATTCCAGTGTGAACAGAAAGAGTCCATATTACATGGTTAATGCTTTGATGTGTCATGTGAGGAGTAGTTTCTAGAAAATGTTGGCATCATTTTTACTTCTTAGTGACTTGTGACGATATATATTATATATATATATGTACATAAATCTTTGTAATATTCTGTGTTTAGTATAAATGTTCTGGGCAAGTTTTAGGATTTCAAATGCCTTTGGATATTCTTGCAATAAAGGCAACATGTTCTGCAGTTGGATTTTTTGTTGTTTGCCTATTCTGGCACTAAAATATGGTCCATAACTGAACACAAGTTCTATTTATTAATGTTATAGAAGTGGGGAAGAATAATAAATTTGTGAATTGCAGTTCTGTGTATCTTATGGATAATAACACCAGCAAGCATTTGATCTTACATATAATAACACCAGCAAATATTTGCTGCCTCTGGCTTCTCACTGTGAATTAAAATCAAGTTTTCCAAAGTAGCCTGTTTTGTAATTTAAGAGTGTGGAGAATATCCACTGGGTTTGCTTTGTTCGAGAACACTAAAATCTCCAATCAAGGAAGACTTGGTGTTTTCTACTTTGAATAACACAAGCATTAAGAGAACCACAGTTCGCTGATTCACTTATTCTCATCCCTAACTGTGAATTTTTGTAATAAATACACTTGTACTACTGAGAAAAATATTTTGACACTTCATATATGCAAGTAGAGAATTGATAGTGTCAGTTTCAAAAATGATTTTTGTATTTAAAGTTTCTGGCTTAAATATCCAATGGTGCAGCAGATTTTGAAGTTTGTAAGAACAAAATTTGGTTAAAAAAGCAAGAACTTGCTCTAGTTTTGTGACCTTGTGTACTTTTAAAATAAAATCAAGAAAATAGTTTTCTGCCTCATGGTGTGGCTTCATTGTGCCTTTAAAAAAATGTCTGCTTTATAAAGCTTCAGTTTCCTGTTCCTCCCTGTTTCCCGAATCCAGGTTTTCTTCCCTGACCCCCTGAATCCTTCATTAAACAGAACGAAGGTCAGAAAAATCACTCATCAGTGGAAACATGTGAAACATACATAGATGTTTCCCCACTGTGCAGTTACATGACTTACATGGCATAATATTTGGGGTTGAAACGCCAAAGTCTGGTGATTATTTCACAGTGTTTTACAGTGCAAAATCAAAGCAGTATTCAGCTGCATTAAAAAATGTGCATGCAGCCCTGGCTGGTGTAGCTCAGTGGATTGAACGTGGGCTGCAAACCAAAGAGTCGCTGTTCGATTCCCAGTCAGGGCACATGCCTGGCTTGCAGGCCAGGTCCCCAGTGGGGGCCATGGGAGAAGCAACCACATGTTGATATTTCTCTCACTCTCTTTCTCCTTCCCTTCCCCCTCTCTAAAAATTTTTTAAAAAGAAATAAAATATTAGAACTATACATACATATATGTATTAAACATATCTAATTCTGGTTTAAAGCTACATTCAATTAAACATTGATTTCAGAAAAAACCAGGATGGATAGTAATGTGTCTGTAAGAAGACGTTGTTAGGAATATTTCGTTTGTACAATACTATGGTTTCTCAGTATTTGGGGCTGAATGGTTCTTTGTTGTGGGGAACTGCCCTGTCCATTATAGGTTGTTTAGTGTCATTCCTGGTCTCTACCTACTGGGGGTCAGCAGCCTTCTGTCCCCCCTCACCCCCCACAGATGTGACAACCAAAAGTGTCTCCAGATGTATCCCATTGTCCACGGGGTAGAGGGCAAAATCCCCCAACCCCCAGGTTTAGAACAACTGGTTTTTAATACTAACATGAAATATTCCACTCAGAAGGTTAAAATGAGAATAACATAGGCCTTGGAGTCAGACATGTTTGAACACCACTCATTGCTAGATACTTTACTTAACTTCAATTTCCTAGTTCTTAAAATGGGGATAAAAATACCTACATCACGGGATGTTGGAAGATTTTAAAGAAATAAAATTGATATAATGAAAAGTCTTTGCATTTGTCCCTGGTAGCTGGGGTGCTGAAAATAATACACAAATTTTCAAGGGACCAAGATTACAAAAAATATACTAAGTTCAACAACTAAGTATAGTTTAATGCCTTTCATTTAGACCATATTTGAATCTTGCAGTTCTAAAAGCCAGATCATATTTCTGGTTCATTAAATACCAAATAGCAAAACCAATATAATTGAAACAAAACTGTATGTAAAGTGATTTGTTATTAAATAAAAGTGGTTTAGTTTTAAGTCTTAAGGCATAAACAAGTGTAATTTCTAAATGTAATAAAGGCAACAGAAAGATTTAGAAAGCAGTCCTAAAAACTCAGCTCAGTTTTTCTTGGTGGTATTTCCGAAGTATAAATCAAATGATTTGTTAAATGATTTTCTGTATTTGATAACTATAGGGGGGAAAAGTTGTCCTGGGGTAACTACAGAAAAAGAAGAATTTCACGAGTTAATGAAGGACTGAGAAGTTTCAGTCTAGTTAATCAAATCAAGGACTAGCTCTTTGATCAGTTTGCTTCTCCTTTCACTGCTGAGCTGTGAACATTCTAACTAATGAAGAATGAGAGAGGTGGGAGAAGATCCAGGAAATACCTAAGTAAAAACCTAATGCCAGTCCCCAACAGTCCTAGAAGCCATCATGTTCTTTCCTTGCCCTGAGTCATTGTCCCCTGTCTTAGTGGACAGGTTGTCTTAAAATGTAAATATAACATGTTAAAATCCAGGTCATCTTTATCTGATACGAAAGGTCTCTCGTGGTCCTCTCCACTTCTCTCTGGTGTGTTTTCTCCACACCTGCAGGTGCAGCTCTACGCAGTGGGGTTTCATGTCTGGCGAACATGCAGCTTCCTCAACCAAACAGCAGCCCCTCTGTGTTTACCTTCCCAGGGCATTTGCCCTACAAGTCTGCGTCCAAACACCCTCTCCTTTTAGTCATTTTTTTCTGATTCATACCCATGCCCTCCATTCACACACTAGTTTAGGCGTGTGTCTGAGCCTTCAATATTGCCAGTACAGGTCTTTTACATATTCTAATTACTTAACACATTTGATATATCCTCTTTATGAGTTTGAACAGAGTTTATTCACTTTTAACTCTAGTTCCTAACTATTATAGCTCAGTAAATAATGAATTTTTAGAAAAGAAATGGCATTAGGGGACAAGAATGCATTGAATAAGTTCATGTCATATGGTCTGTAAGACACCTGGTCTGGTTTCTTCCAAAAAGGCCGAATGGAGAGAGAAAGCGAGTGTGAGTACGTGTGGCGAGAAAGTCTGCACACGGCTTGAAAAGTGAACTCGCACAAATGCAGAATGTGATGATCTGACTCAACAGGAGCCAACTTAAAAAAAGAAAAAAACAAATATGAAAACTTGAGGAAGTGGAAGAACATTTTAGAAGGAAATTTTTTTCTAAAACTTCTTAGTTTCTGAGGAGGTCTGGAGTGAAGCTAGTGCCTCTTTTACTCTTAGCCTTTCACAACCGGCCCTTCACTACCACGCTTACGCGTGCATATCTGTTTGTTTCTCCAAAAAAATAAGGTTTTAGACACACTGCGTTTTTAATTTAACATATCCTCTCAGGTTATTCTACCTCTGCGTTATCTATTTTTTTTTTAATATTTCATTTATTTATCTTTAGAGGGGAAGGGAAGGAGGGAGAGAAACATCGATGTATGGTTGACTTTCATGCATCCCCTGCTGGGAACTGGCCTGCAGGGAACCGGCCTGCAACCCTGGTATGTGCCCTGACTGGGAATTGAACCGCAATTGTCTGGTTCGCAGGCCCGCGCTCAATCCACTGAGCTACACCAGCCAGGGTGCGTTATCTATTTTCTATTATCTGTGCATCTACCTACCTATCTTACTTTTTTAAAACTGTAATGTGTACATCAGTGATAACATTGTAACATTTAACGAGCCTCCAGTTGATAGCCATTTAAATCGACCCCATCTTTTTGATGCAGGGATTAAAATTGCAAGCAGTATGTGTGTACAATGTATACATCATTATGCACATGTATAAATATATCTTTACGGTAAATGTCTAGGAGGGGTGTTGGTGAGTATAGAGTATTTCCATAACTATTATTTGTCAGAGTTGTAGCAGCTGACGCTAACCATGGATGAGAGTGCCGATCTTTCCTCAGTCCTCACCAATACTCTTACCCAACCTTTTGATCTTGCCCAGTCTCCAAGAAGAAAATTATCTCATGGTTTAAAATTCTGTTACTTGTTTAGCTGAGCATCTTATATTTAAAAACCATTTGAGAACTATGTTCCTGTGATTTGCCCATTTTTCTTTTATATACTGCTAAGTTGGAGCTCTTAAATATATTAAAATTAGCCCTGTGTGATGTGAAAAATGTTTTGCTAGGTTATCCTTTTCCTTTGACTTTGTTTATAGTCTTACCTTCTGACCATGCAATCCCAATTCTTCCTAAACTGTCATACTGGTTCAACCTGACTTCTCCCTCCTTGAAATTGTATCCCTCAAAGGAAGATGAGGATTGCCTACCTCTCTCTTCACGTATTTGTTTCCTTTCCCTAAGCAGATGTGATTCCTCAAAGGTGGAGGGAGCATCTTTGCATTTAAATTTTCCAGTAATGCCCTGGCCAGTGTGGCTCAGTTGGATGGAGTGTCGTCCCATAAACTGAAAATTTGCAGGTTTGATTCCCAGTCAGGGCACCTACCCAGGTTGTGGGTTATTTCCCCAACTGGGGCGCTTACCAGATGCAACCAATCAATGTCTCTCTCTCTCCCCCACCCCCAACCTTCTCTGAAAACAAAATGTCCTCAGGTGAGGCATGAATGAATGAATGAATCAAGTTCCACACGTAATAGATTCTCAGTAGTCTTTCCTGATGATTGCAAGCAGCTCTGGCCACGCTCCTGTCCAGCCATTGCCGCGAGTATTCCTGTCACACAGTGTTTCTTAATTTATCTTTGGTTTCTTGGAGTTTCTGGAGTTTTTGCCTAAAGCATTTTTATGAAATCAGCACAAAGTAAACTAATGAAGAAAATTAGAGATCTTGCACTTGGAAAGATGTGTCTAGGTCATGGGTTGGGCCAGCTGTCGCACACCATTTCAAGTTCAATGTTGGCTACAGGCAGTGTGCTCTTCTAATGTTGCTGAGTAGGACGTTTTCTTCTCACAAACTCCAGAACCGTCAACAATGAGAACATTTCTGGGAAACAGTCGAATGACCTTGCAGTTCTGAGCGGAGACAGTAGGATGATAGAAAAAGATTTGCAACCCGTTGGAACATCATGGTCCTCCAGCATTAGCCTCCACCAGTCATTTCATCTGGTGACAAGGAGGGGACATTTTACTTGTTCACAGAAATAACAAAACATACAGTGAAATAGTTCTGTGAAAAGAAACATGAACTCTACCCGGCCAACTAAAAGACACTATCTGCTGTGTCCAGAGCAAAGTAAAGACACAACCTTTATGAACAAGTTTATGTGCCTTCAGTTTAGACTTTTCATAACAGCAACATATTTGGGATACAGTTAAGAAAATTTACATAGCAGTTCAAATTTCATAAAAACAACCCCCTGAAAAAACATCCATAGGCTATGGTATCTAGTTCAATATCATTGTATGAAAAGAAATCAAGATCCAGAAAGGTTTTTGTTTTTTTTTCAAGGCCACAGTTAGAGACAAATCCAGGTCTCCTGAATCCTGCCTGGTCCAGTATTTTTCTAGGAGCCTTGAGTCCTTGGTAGTCCCAGCCCTGGGAGAACTATAGGAAAGGAAAGACGGGGCGAGTCAGAGTGGCTCTCTCTGACTGCCCACGGCCCTCCCTGCCACAGTGTCCTGGGAGAAGGCCCGGGAAGCGGGGCTGACTGGCCTGCCCAGTGCCCACACTGAGGGCACAAGTGAGCATCAACAGCTGCACTCTTCTCAGGGATGCCCATGGTGTCCCCAGCAGGGTGTATGATTGACAAGAGTCTGCTTTGTTTGGTATCAAGCCTGTTTATGCTTGTGTTGCCGATTGCATAATTTGAGTAAGTTGCACATAATTTGGGGAAAAGTACCAGACATGGTGAAGATAACATATCTGAGGAAATGACTGCTGGCAATCGCTTTAAAAATATGTTGTTTTCACTCACTGCGAAGAAACCAAACTTTACATTAAGATTGATATATTGTGGATGAAGTTTATAAAGAAAACAGATACTCCTAACACTAGGCCCATATTCTAAGAAAAATTCTTTACATCAAAATGTGGTGACTGAAAGTATACTGATATATTTTAAACATTTTGAAATGTTTAAAGGATGTACAGTTTTTAATGGCTTTTCACTTAAACTTTTTTGATTGGCACTACTACTTGTGTCAGGAAAGAGGGATTTTACTGTAAGTCTGCATGCCAAATCCCTATTAAAGATCTGTATTTTAACTTTTTGTGTGTATTCCTTTTCAGATTTCACAGTATCGAATATCACAGGTAGTATTCTCAAAGGTATTTACCAAAAGATTTTCTTAACTATCAATATCAAATCTTAAGTATTGTCTGTCTTATCATTGGGGAGCAGTAGAGAACATGAAATAGTGAGATTTCACTTACTAAATACTCAGATGACAAAAGTTAATTTTGCACTTTTCATGTTCCAGTCCCTTTAGACAAAGTTCAAAATTTTTTACTATACTTTCAAGTTTAATCATTTTCTAATTTTTTTTCTTTAGAAGAGACATTTAGTGAATGATCTATAAGGTATGAAAACAATGTTTTTTTCCATGAATTAAGTGAAACAGTCAACTAATCTCACTGGCTATTTTCTGTTGAGTTTTACAGTTTATCAATTTGACTCTAAAAAATTTGTCGTCTATATTTTCTATGTGTGATTTCAAAAAGTTGGCAACTTTGTTATAAGATCAGTTTGTCTATTTCTGAACTTGAATAACCCCTTCCCCCCACTCCATTATCAACAAAGCTGGTGTGGTATATACATCTAGGTATGTGATCGAAAAGACATTTCCAAAACTGGCCTGTAGCTTAATATCTAATGATAAAGATGGGTTAAATCAATTAAGGCACATACATATGAATACTGTAACTTAAAAGTTGTGTTAAAAAATCAGTGTCATGATGCAGTGTTTCACATCTTCAAATTGTGTGACCATAAAATGAATGTATTTCATATCATGACAAAACAATATGGGAGAATGTAAATTAAAAGCTCTCTCTTTAAACATTCCCCTTCCACTAAAATATTAACAGTGGTTATCTTTGCTAGAGGGAGTATAGGTGATATGAATGATCTTTCTGTGGTTTTAACTATTTTTCCTTAACATTACTTGCATTAACAGAAAAATAATTCTAATATATAATTTTTGTGTATAATCATGGCATACTTAGTTAAAATTCTTAATTGCCAGTGACAATTTCTATGTGTAGATCCATAGGAAAGCAGTAATTAAACTAAGCACTAACACTTATCATGGAGAAGGGAGAGGAGATTAATATTTGTGAACACAACTTTTAGTGTGGAAGTTGAAAAAGGGTATCTGATGCCCTCTTGTGGCCGATAATTTTTCAAAGGTGATTTGTTTTTTTTCATTGAAATCCTGTTTAAACCAAGAAAATACCAAAATATCTATTCTATTGCTTTCTAAATGACACACGGAAAAAAAACAAAACAGAAAAACGCTATCATTAACAATTTAAGGGGAGCCATAACTCCACTTGTTAATGATAGGAGACTGGAACCATGACTCCAGTCCTCTGTCTAGCTCCTAAAAGCAGGTGCCCTTGAAGTCACCCTGCTTGGGTTTGAAGTTCCTATCACTTGCGGCAACTTGCAGGAATACTCCAAGACTCAGTTTCAATAATAAACCCGTTAAATTATATTATTATCCTCATTTTTTGCATCTATTTTCACCTTTCACACAATATGATAGGCAACTTTGCACATCATTAGTCTCAGATTATTCTTGATTAGCCATGTGCTCTTACCTAGTTTGAATTATAATCTTTTATTATGGCAAATAGTGCTACATCAACTGTACATTGATACTTATATATTTGCAAAAGTATTTCCATAGGTTATCTTCTGGATGTATAGAATTTGAATTACAGGGCAAGAGAACGTAGACATTAAAAAGTTTTTGACATTGTCCATTGACTTCCACACAGAATGCAAACCTCAGTCTTTTAACGGTTCAGCTTGTTAGGTGAAAAATGGTCCTTCGTGGTTTCAGCTTTTATTCCCCTCGTTATCAGTGTGCCATTAGCACATCTTCTGTTTTTAGCCACTTGTATTTCTTTATATTTAGTTCTGCTAAATAAGTATATATAGAATATATATTTTGGATGTTAAGAATGTTAAATAAGCATATGTAGAAAATATATTTTGTGTATTAAGAATATTAATTACCTTTTAGACATTTTTTGGAAATTTTCTCTCTTTGGGAGTTTGTTTTTTAACTGAAGTTGTGATGTCTTTTGATATGCAGTTCAAGTTTTTTTTTCAATGCCAAATCAGCAATCTTTCTGTCATCACAGGGAATATTTTCCTAAGCTAGAGCTTGTAAATATCTCATGTATTTCCTCTTTATTTTTATAGTTTTATAATTTATATTTTATCTTTATATGCAACTTTCATGGATTGAAGTAGGAATTTAAGTTTAAAAATTCATAACCAAATATTTCGTTTACTACTAATTTTGTATTAGTGACTATTTTCAATTGTAAATACACATTCACATACATTAAACTTCTATATGTAGTTATGAATTGCCCAATGTGGGTGTGCCCAACAGCACACCACATATACATACAAGTGACAATAACATACAGCCTAGGAGTTTAGCAGGCTGTATTATGTAGGTTTGTGTAAGCGCACGCTATAATATTCACAGGACAAAGTCACCTAATGATGCATTTCTCAGAATATATTCCCCCTGTTATGGGGCACATGGCACATGATTGTATAAATATTTCTGGACATGGCACATGATTGTATAAATATTTCTGGTTCTGTACTTGTAATTCTGTAAGTAGTGTATTAGTTTACTCCTAGGTTATAGAGTATATATTTATAAATTAGAAGGAAAGACAGTCCCTGTCCACTGTTCTTTAAAAAAAAATTCTTTGTTACTCTTGAAATTTATTCTTCCATGTAAACTTAAGTCAAGTTTTTGAGTTCCATTTAAATTCCATTGAGATCTTAATTATGATTTATGTTGACTTTACATATTAATTTGGAAAGTAATGTTTTTATAGTATTGAGTCAATTTAGAAATTTCTTTTGGCAACTTTTAAAAATATTTCTCCTCTATCAGACTCACACCTTTCTGTTTATTTTTAAGTACTCAGTACTCTTTCTTAATAATAGCAAATTATCTCCCACAAAGTACTATTTAAATTTTTTGTCATGAAATCATGTATACATAATTGGGAACACTACCACTCTATTAGAAGCATTTATTATTTTGAAATATTTTCTTGCAGACACAGTATGATCAACAACAATAAAGAGGAACCACATTGCAACCATTTAATTCAGAAATGTAACAGATTGCCCTCAAAACGTACATGCAATTTGGTTATCAGTGTTGTATAGGCTTTAGTAAAAATAAAAATAAATCCACCAAACATGTCTTCAGTGCTGTTAAAAGTGTTTCTTTTTACCCTTCCAGTTATAATTCTGTGTAAAAATAATAATGCTTAGCATAAAAATCTAGACTGAAATGCACAATGTAGAAAAATACTGTTTTCTGTATCTGCGTGTCTTCCCCGGCCTCTGAGAACACTACTCTTAGCCATTGGAAATTTATTTTTCCAGTGTTGGTACCATCCTAGACATATTTTCTCTACTTGCAATAATTCCCCAACTTGCAACATTCTATTGTTATTACAAATTCATCTTTTGTGACTACATATTTCCCAGTGTGTTTTTGAATAGATGTTCGTATTTTAACCGTTCATCTATTGGTGGCTACTCGAGTTTTTGTTATTTTTGCCATTATCTAGGTAAAAGCGCAATGAACACTTTTTAGACAATGGCCTCCTTGTTTCAGTAATTCTGTAGATGAATTTCTAGAAGTACAGCTGGTTGGTCCAAGAATATATGCATTTATTTCAGAAAAGTTACACTCCTTTGAACATGTACTAATACTGTATTATAATGTTTCCTCACACACTTTCATCAACATTGGGCATTTCTGATCCTACGCTTGCCAAAATAAATCTGCTTTAATTACTAGTGAAGTTCATACAATTTATCAGTCACGACACTAAATTGTATACTGAAGTTATCCACTAAACTTCTAGCCTGGTTAGAAATGCTTGCCACCTATATTCCCTATAGGTTTACTATATATTGTGTATACATTGATATATGTAATACGTATTTAAAAACACCCATAAGCCAAGCCATGGATGACTGTCATAATACTTAGTATTTTCAAGTCCTGTGAAATTGCTTAAGTAAGGCTCCCAAGGCTTCCATACTTACGAAGATCATTTCTGTAAAAAGCTCTTCTTTTTGAGGGTAGAAATAAAATTCAGCATTTGTGTGCTATTCATGTGCTTTAAGGAATAAGCCACCCTAAGCAGTGGTGTATCCACTACTTAGAGAGGGGAGATGAGAGGGAGAGGGAGAGAAACGCCAGTATGTGGTTGCCGCACACCCCCAACACACACACCCCAGGAACTTGGCCTGTGACCCAGGCATGTGCCCTGACTAGGAATTGAACTGGCAATGCTTTGGTTCACAGGCCGGCATCCACTGAGCCACACCGGCCAGGGTGTGAATTTGCTTTAAGGGTTAGATGTACTTCCTTTTAACTTATATGTGAAAGAGCAAGGGAACCTGGAAGGCGCCTAATGCTATTAAATTGGGAGGCAGGAGATGCTTTCTGCAGTGAAGTGTGCACATTTTGAACAGGAATGTGGAGCCTCCTCCACAACTAGTGTTTGTGTGACAATTTTCCAGTATGAGTTGATGCCATGAAGCTCCATCTGTAATGCTGGGATGTTGTTTTTCTTAGAGCCCCCGTGTACTTCCTCACAACTGGAATACACACACTTTAGAGAATACATGAGAACATCGTACACTGTTAAATCAGATAGCTAAGAAAAAAAAGGAATTAAACTTGTGATAAACTTGTGCCTTACTAATACCACTAATTCTGTGAACTTTCTCCTTGACCAGTGGTACAGCTTTGTCATCTCAATTGGGCTGTAATTTCACAATCTGATTTAGTGTTCAAGCAAATAAAATGACTACCAAGTTATTAGGCAATACCTTTTCAGAAATCTGAATAGTGTGTGAAAAAGGAACTCTTGTCAAGACCATTAGTTATTGATATTTTATTTTGCTTTCTCAATAAAATCTTTCCATTTCTTCCCTTTTTATTCAAATCTGGCTTGATGTTGAACATTCTCACAAGTTTCAAGAGGTGGTAGACTTTCTAAGTAATGAAATTAATAAAGGCATCAAGAGCATGAGCTTTACAAAGTACAGCTTGGTTTTAAGTTAGGGCTTTCTTAGCTTTCTGTGATTCTAGGTGTTTTTTTCCTCTGAAAGTCCTCATCTTAACTGAAATAATACTGATACCTACCTCATGGGATTATTATGTGGAATAAACCAGTTACTGGCACATAGTAATAAAATATTTAAAAAGTTAGTTTTACCTGTAGAAGGGCTACCCTGGCAAGGTAAATGCACATCACATGTGTTTGTATTTTCCCCTCTTCCCGATCATTAAATTATTTTAAAGGGATAGCTAAGTAGAAAGTCAACATGAATGCTTTATTACCTTGAAACCATAGAAGTTTGCTGAAAAGTTATACTTTGAGACAAATATTACACTAAAAAGCCAGATGTACTGTACTTACTGATGTAATAAAATTTATGAAGTTTTTTAAATTTTCTGTTTAACCTCTAGAGTTAGAACTTTATAGCTACATCTACAAATACAAAAGAATTAAGACAATCATTCACTCACAAACACTCCTGTTTTTTAAAAAACAGCCTGATAAGGCTTTCAAGCTATTATGCAGCCACATTTTGTCATTAGAACATTTCTAGTCATGTAAGAGAAACTTCAGACATCTTACAACTTGGTCCTATTTACCACTGAGTTAGAAACTTTTGTATCCCACGCTTTAACTAGACTTACTTGAAGACCCAGGTGCTGAGAAAGATGGTCGTTAGAAATGGATTGGAAAACTATATTGAAAAATCTCTTGAATTAATTCTAGGAGAAGGGGGGTGTGGACTGTCAATAAAAGTTGGAAATCTCTACAGGTAGTTCATCTAATATACAAATTCAAAATTAGCATTTTCCCCTAGGCACCCTGCCATTTAGTTATCAGCACAAATGAGATTTAGATTTTACAGTATCCTATGTGGAAAGGTCTGGTTACTAGTGAAAATTCTTCTAACAGGATGGTAGTACACTTCTCATTTTCCCAAGAAACTTCTAATTACATGAGCAAACTTAATGCTAACTCCATGACAAAAATACTTGAAATGTCACCTTTACAATTGACCACAAAGCTGCCATTATCACATAAAACTCTCTCCAATAAGGGTAAAGTTTTAAAAATTAAAACACAACTAAATCTGCCTGGTGATGCTAATTACCCCTAGAAAAGTAAACTGAAGTCTGAACAGGCACCCACTATATGCAGGGGCAGGCAAAAGTAGGTTTAGTTTGCTGTATGGATATACAAGAATAAACTTTCGTGTACGCACAACTATAAACCTACTTTTGCCAACCTCCCATATTTCTGGGGGGAAAGTAGATATGGTTTGGAAGTATGTTAATAGTTGCATGTCTTATCAGAGTACAGTAACATTAAAACAAGTACCTGAAGTTTAAAACTAAGTATTATGTTGATTTTGCAAATTTAATTCCCACATGACTTTAAAATCTTTGAGCTACACATCCTTGATTTGTACTTCTCTGGTATCCTATACCTCATTAGAACCTACCAGAAAAAACAGGAATATTTAAAATGGCCAAGGCCACCTAATGATTTATTAGCAAGTAATGATTTTTCTAAGTTAAATAATTTAGATGTGGGAGATGGAAAAAATTGATCTTAAGTGTTTTAAAATTTACTTTGGGAACCAAATTCTTATACCTCCTTTTCTTTTTGTAGTCTGAATACACTTGCAAGACTGATGGAATTACAGTGGTATAAATATCAAGAACTACTGAAGAATTCAAAGCACTGTCTTTTGCTTTATTTTTGGACCTCCAGTAAAGACTTGAACGTGTTGGGCAAAAGCATACGGCACAGAAATTACAGTGGCTGAAAGGACAGTAATGCTTTACGCAACAGTGTTGTGCACAAAAGTCAAATGTCACACCAAATTAGTACAGGCCAAATTCCTGGTTGGGAAAATTCTCTGTACAGTGACTTGAATATTTTGAAAGATGTTTTATTATGTTTATATTTTCAATGAGCTACTAACAAATTTTAGGTTTTTTATAAATGTCTTTTGATACTGTAGCCCTTGGGGGAAGTATGGTTTTTTTAAAAGTTGATTTTTTTAAAGGAAAATGGAAATGTTTACCTTTTTTCTTTGCTAAATGTTTAATTAAACAGTGAAGTGAAACATCCCCTCTGCTCTCCCTTTTTTATGCACAGAACAGAAGCACACATTGTCATGCCTCAAACTACTTTTTATTTGCAACTACATGATTTCACACAATTCTTCTAAACAGTAACATAAAATATATTTTCTTGTGTATAAATAACTTACATACTCTCCACAAAGTAAATGCTCAAAGGTGCTGAAACAGATCCTCCACTCCTACAGTGTTCTTGTATGCAACAGAGTTGATGCACAACATATAAATACGCAAGTCCAATATTAAAAACTCAGGCACTTGACTAACTTGAATAAATTTTCTCAAACTATATCAATATATCTAAAGTGCATATATTTTTTAAGAAAGATTATTCTCAATAACTTCTCTATAAAAATAAGTTTGATGGTTTAACCCATCTAACTTTACTACTATGAATATGAACTTTTAACTTTTAGTATGTAGTCAGGCTTATTCTACCTTCTCTCAACACCAATAGAATCAAAAGCAGCTAATGAGGTGCTAACATGTGGGGATTAATCCACTGATTCCGGTCACAGTGCATTCCAGGAGGAGGCACCCATGTTACTGGAATCGGTCGGTATGGTTTATTATTCTTCCTTCCCTGATTTGGATAACCAAATGGAACAGGAGGAGGGTAGTGATTCTGATGGCCATTCCCTCTGTACATTCCTGGCTTTCTTCTGGGCAAAGGGTGCCATATTGGAAGAGGTGGGAATATCAGTTCTGATATCTGTAAAGAAAGAGAAAACAGTTAAGTCAATTCAAAGAAAAAAATTAGACATATGTTATATAAAAACCAGGTGAATTTTCAGATTCCTCGTAAAAGAAAAACAAAACCACTCACCCAAAGACTGACATTCCTAAGGTCAAGTCTAAATGTAGGATGGGGGAAAGTAGGTTTATAGTTTTGAGTACATGATACAGAGGTTCATTCTTATATTATTTATAAATTATTGTATTATTTCACATATACCAACTGTAAACCCTTTGCCCTGACCTGTATCTTAAAAACAGGCAATCAACCAGTGTTTTTTGAGTAAGTGAAAATGAATAACCTCAAACATAGCCCTCTGAAGCAACCAGAAATCTCCCTATATTTTCTTGCAAAAACACCGAGATTTAGCTTTCATTTTTAAGTCGATGATCCATCCCAAATTAAAATTTTTCCGTGTATGGTGTGAGATACCTGTTAGGTTCTTCTTCTAATCAATCAATCAATCAATCAATCAATTAATTTAGCCATTTGCACCAGCTTTCTACACAATGTCATATATCAGGCTTTTCTGTCATGAAATTTTTTTGTTAGTAGATATAATGTCAAAAGAAATGTTTTACTTAAAAAACACAACAGACTTTCATTTCCTGTTATAATTTTATCCTAACAATCTCTGAACGTGGGTGAAAAATAAATACAATTTAACTTTAAAAAGTAAAATCTAAGCATTAAAGGGCAATTGTGAAATATGAGCAGCAATCAGTTCAACTTAAGATTTATATTCTTGCTTTGTTAAATAACTAACGAAATTCTGAGGTAAAATTGGATGTATTTGAATGAATCCCAGGCAATTTAACAATGGTAATTTGCAATGTATAATGAATTACGGAAGAGGGAAAAAAGCCCACCATATTTAACGCAAAGGTTCTAAAAATGTTACTTACTATATATAAAATCTCTCAAAAAGAATACAAAAATAACTGGGAATTACTATAAGTGCACAGGACTAGTGGTTGGAGGTAGAGGAAACGCTTGTCACTATTACACTTTTATCCTGTTTGATGTTGTTTTTAAAAGCAGGTGCATGTGTTATAATACACATAGATACATATACAATATAGTAATCTTTAGAACTAATTTTCCTCTAAAACTTAGGAAGGATAATGCAACTAAAAAATAAAAGGAGAAATCAAAAATGAAGTTATATTGAGAGAATTCTCACTATATAAATACGTTAACTTTATTTTTTTGATTATGCCATTACATTTGTTCTATTCCCCCCTCCGTTCCCCTCCACCCTGCAAAGCCCTCCCCCACCATCCCCCCTTTAGTTCATGAACACGTCTCAAGTTCTTTAGATTCTTTATTTCCCCTACTATTCTTGCCCTCCCCCCATCTATTTTCTATCTATTGTCTATGCTACTTATTTTCTGTACCTTCTCCCCCCCCTTCTCCTTCTCCCACTCCCCTGTTGCTAATCCTCCATGTGATCTTCATTTCTATGGTTCACTCCTGATCTAGCTATCCTCTTAATTTGCTTTTGTTTTAGGTGTGGTTGTTGATAACTCTGAGTTTGCTGTCCTTTCACTGTACATCTTTTTTATCTTCTTTTTCTTAGGTAAGTCCCTTTAACATTTCATATAATAAGGGCTTGGTGATGATGAACTCCTTGAATTTGGTCTTATCTGAGAAGCACTTTATCTGTCCTTCCATTCTAAATGAAAACTTTGCTGGATAGAGCAATCTTGGTTGTAGGTCTTTGGATTTCATGACTTGGAATACTTCTTTCCAGCCCCTTCTTGCCTGCAAGGTCTCTCTTGAGAAATCCACTGACAGTCTGATGGGAAGTCCTTTGTAGGTGACTGTCCCCTTAGCTCTTGCTGCTTCTAGGATTCTCTCCATTTTAATCTTGGCTAATGTAATGATGATGTGCCTTGGTGTGTTCCTTCTTGGGTCCAACTTCTTTGGGACTCTCTGAGCTTCCTGGATTTCCTGGAAATCTATTTCCTTTGCCAGAACGGGGAAGTTCCCTTTTATTATTTGTTCAAATAAGGTTGCCACTCATGACTGTTCCTCTTCCCCTCCTGGTACCCCTATAATTCGGATGTTGAAATGTTTAAAGATGTCCTGGAGGTTCCTAAGTCTCTCCTCATTTTTTTGAATTCTTGTTTCTTCATTCTTTACTGTTTGGTCATTTTTTCCCTTCCTTCTGGTCTACTCCCTTGATTTGAGTCCCAGTCTCCTTTCCATTACTACTGGTTTCCTGTGCATTACCATGCATTTCAATTTGTTTAGCCTTCATATGTTCCTCTAATTTGTGACTAAAATCAACCAGTTCTGTGAGGATCCTGATCACCAATGTTTTGAACTGTGCATCTGAAAGTTTACCTATTTCTTCATTGCTCAGATTTATCGGCTCTGGGGCTCTGAGCTGTTCTTGAGCCATGTTTTTATCTGTTTGTGCCTGTTACTATGAGGAGTGGAGCCTTAGTTGTTTACCAGGGCGGGGCCACCCAGGTCGCTGGTTTGTGACGCTGCATGTGGGGGCGGGGCCAGAGAGGGAGCAATGGCGGTCCTCTCTGCTCGCCCAGTCCATCCCACAGCTTGCCCCTGCCTATTTATCTGAGTGGAAATGTGCGAGCCCGCCGCCCTGCGCCGTGCAGTCTCAACGCTCACCTCTTCACTGGTTTATCTGCACACAAATGCTCGACCGACTGCAGACAGCCAGCCGCGTCTCTTCCCTGTGTCTGCCCATAGCTCGCCCACACCTGGGATCTCCACCTTCGGCTGCCTGTGCCTGTGCACCACCCGTCGGGGATCTTTTTGGCCAACCCGCTCCGCTGCTGGCTTTGCCCCTCTTACCGGTTTAGCTGAGCATTTCGTTGTTTTCGGACTTCGTACTGTCGGTTTTCTGTGCGGTTTGGTTGCGTTTACTGTTGTTAAAACTTTGTTGTTTTTAGCTTTGGTTGTGCACGGATGCAAGGTGTTTCCACCTACGCCTCCATCTTGGCGGAAGTCCTTAAATATGTTAACTTTAAAGGTTTAGTTTTTCATAGTAACAACTGGTAACACTTATTTCTTATTAAGATCTAAATTTTCATTTCAGCACAAACCCAACTCCACTGAAAACCTGGTATAGTTCATTAAGTCTAATTAAGGCCAAATTAATAAAAACAAGTATATTTCAAAGTATACAGTTGACCCATGAACAATACGGGGGTTGGGTACACTGCCTTCTCCCCAAAATATTGATGTATTAACTTCTGACTCCCCTAAAAGCCTAACCCATTGTCACTTGGTATCAGCAGGAGATTGGTTCTAGGACCCCAGAAATACCCAAATCTTCAAATACTCAAGTCCTCTAATGCATATGGTCAGTCCTCTACATCCTCAAACTCCCAATCCTGGACTAAAAACAGTGTGGGTATTTATTGGGGGAAAAAAAATCCACATTAAGTGGACTCCTGTGATTATACCTGTATTATTCAAGGGTCAGCTGTGGTTAAAATTAGAAAAAGGTTCAAGTACAAAATAAGGCTCAACTCAAAGATTTCTTTAAACATTTTTTACTCTAAAATATCTTTTCAGTTGAGAACTACTGTTGTAAAAAATTTTATAGGTATATTAAATGTTCTTAGGCAGGTATATTAAATGTTCTTAGGCATATGGGGTATAAATAGTAAATAACTGAACATATCTTGTGTTTGCATAGTAGCTATGTAACTCTTTAACTGTAAAGTGAAGGAGAAAGTATTTTTGGCTTCAGTGAAAATTAACTAAATATAATTTAGTGAGATTTCTCTTAGAACATGGAAAAGTAGAAAACAATAAAGTTAAACCCAAAGGTATGAACTAGAAGTGTTAGAGACTACAAAAAATGAGTGGCTACTTTGGAATATAGTAAGGATTTTTAAAATACCAGGAACATTTTATCACATTTATTTTTCGTTTTGCCACACACTCTTTGAAACACATTTATCCTACTTATTGAGTAGTAAAGCTAACCTTTGATAAAGGATGCCTAGTTACATCTCAGACAAAACAACTTCATGTGGAAAGACAAGAACTGAAATCCAGAATCTCTAATCAGAGAAACCTTGGGCAACATGGGATGACTTGGCAAGCCCTCCTCACAGACCTTCAATATAAAGCTGTTTCATGGTTACCTGGTACATGGGGCCTGGGGTTGCAGTCACTGAACTGGATTTCACTTCCACTTCCTTACTCGTTGTTTCTTCATCTGAAGAAGAGGATCCTGAATGATAATCAGAGGTAACTTTATCAAGGGCTCTGGTAACTTTCTTAGAGATCTCATCCTTGTTCTCATCCTCATTTTCAAAGCTGGCAACAATGAAAGCATTGTTTTTTTCTCCATACCTAAGAATTAAAAAAAAAAAAAAAAATCTTACAAACCCTGAAGTCACATCAACAAAGCAAGAAATATGCATAGAAACAATTAAACTGGTCTGGACATGTCACTGTTCTAGAGCAAAGAAGGGACCTTCCTAGAACTTTATCTTACATAGATCCTAACCTAGCTTCATACCAGCAGGCAGGCCATGGTTTTCTACTTCTGATCCACTGAATTTCAGATAAAAGTGACTCTATCCTCTTTTCAATTTTCTTTTCTGCTGTCTCCTAAACATTTATTTAAAACATCAAAGGGAAATTCATTGTTTTGATTACATTTTATATATATCACTAAAGTAAAACCTACTAATATATTTTAACTGATCCCTATAATACAGATCCTAATAATTCAAGTCACAAGTCAACTAGATATTTCTTACGACATTTACTTTTATCATGATTAAACATGAAGGGGCCTGTGTTTCCTATATTCACAGACAAAAATAAGAACTGAAGGAAGTACTGAGGTTAAAGAAAAAATGGTGGTTGAGGAAATAAAGGGGTTTTGCTTGAACTATACTGCATACCTCATAGTGATTCCTAGCATAACTAGTCACTTCTCACTTTAATTTTTTTAAAGAGTCAAATAAACAAGACTTTTTATCCTTCCAAAATGTTTTTAAAGACTTGATCTAAGAAAAACAGTTGTCAAAATATGTAACTTTGGCTGTAGGTTATTTAAAAAGGAAAACAATTTCTGCAATAAGGGAAAATAGCACAGTAAACAGTAAAAGTAGTCATTTTCATTCAAGGCCAAAAGAAAAACCCATGAATTTATTTAAATAGATTGTACAACATAAACACAATGAAATAATTTCTAGTAAATATCAGGACAAAGAATGCTAACTGTTAAGTTCTTACACAATATGTAAAGTCAGAAAAAGTGATTCTAAGCTTAAAAAACAAATAGAATTTCAATAAAAACAAAGTTAACTATAATGGACATCAATTAACTTCATTCCAAATAACTTGTCTCAACTTAATTCTGAATGAAGACATTTACAATAAAGTAAATAGCTTAACTGCAATAACATCTTTGAAAGTTTATATAGAAATCAAGTAGTCTCAGAGCTCATGAGTTCTGTGTATTCACACAGCTGTGGTATCTTCCATTTGCACAGGCTGAATTGGGCCATAAATGCTACCTGAACATGGTGTGTTACCTCCCTCTTCTCTTCTTTTTCACTTTACCTCATAAAAGGAGTTGCTACAGTATGGCAGAAAAAGCACTGGACAAGTTTCTGGTTCTAGCTGGGCCATTAACTAACTAGATCTGTGTCTAGAGGCAGGTAATTTAGTCTCTCCAGGCCTCAGGCCTCAGTTTCCTATTTGCTGTGTGAGGAAACTGGAGCTGGCTGGGTATCGGTTGGTCTTCTGCTGGTGATTCTTCTTAATATCAGATGCCTGAACAGTTGGGCAAGTTCCTCACAACACAGAATTCATGTATTATAATTGCAAGTTTACTTAGCATGGGGTTTTTAGCAATGGAAATTCACCCTTCTGTCCTCTCCAGCATTTAAAGGCTAGGCAAATCATGATACTATCTAAGGTTAATTCATATGTTAATGTCAATATGAACAATGGGCTTAGGCCTACCTTCAATTTTGTCCATTAATGGAGTCAAAATTCAAGCAAAACAGAAAGGAAGGAAATTTGAGAAAAATCCCTGCCTTTATAAAAGCAGAAACCAAAATCAGGGGCAGACATCTAATGATTGAAGGATCAGCTGTATTAACTCACATTTCTTTAATATGCAAGTTCAATTAGGTTCTACATCTTTCCTTTTGTAGTATTTTGGTATGAGTACTCTCTCTTCATGGTAAGTAAATCTGCTTTTCTATATTACAGTTACATTAGAATGTATAGTTAATTCCTTAGAATTAGCAGTGAACAACTTTTAAACTTTCCACTTTTCATTGATACACTACTAAAACATTAGGTCAATGTAGTTAAATTGAAACAAATCAATAGTATCTAAGGTTCTGTATCAGATAAAAGGGTCACAGAAATTTAAGAAAAAAGTTATAGAAATAGGTTGAGTAGATAATTAAAACTACCAAATTCTCCTTATTGGAAAGTTGTGTTGTCTATTCTGTACCTTCCCAAATATTTCACTAACCTTTTTAAAGTACATACCACTCTGCACCCTTCCAATTTTTTATCCTGATGTAGTAACTGAGACTATGAAGATTGTTATTTTTGAGTGCATTTTGATTGTTTTCACAACCTTCAATAGTCTCCAGTTATTGTTAGTTGTTATTCAGATATTTATTGTTATATAACTAACTGCTAGAAGAAATTTGTTTAATTTTCAATGATTTCTTTCTAGTTTGGTCCAAAAGCACTAATCACTATTTCAATCTCCTCTATTAACTTATGGTATCATCTCTACTGAACTGCTAACCATTTTTCTTTTGGGGGTTATCAATGAACGAGGGCCCCACATTCTGAAGGTGCTTTCTATTATCCATGAAAAAATAAAGCACATCTCAGCCATTATTTGGCAAAATTTTGATCATGTATAAATTAGAAACCTACTGAATACAAAGATTTTCTTATATTAACCAGACAGATGAAAGCACAATAACTTTCATTATCTGGCATCATAATAATGTACCTACTTAGGTAGAATGTCCATATCAAAAGCTTTTATCTTCAGGTGCCATGGTTTAAACATTTCAAATAAATATGCCCAAAATGCTTCTATAATTACACAACTTCTAAAACATTCTTGGACACAGAAACTTTTCCCTAATGATTTAAGGTCGTTATATTAAATACTCACTATCTGACTGTGTAATAACACATTTGGACCAACTCTTTAGCCTCTTCACACCCACCTCTATGTCAGACCATGACCATTTTTTTTTGTAGCCTGACTACTGTGATCAACCCCCTTTCAAATGTTGCTTACAATCTTGAATTAGCTGAAAAACTATACAACTATTTAAAAGAACTGTGTTTAGTAAGGAAGGGGTCCATTAGCATCTAAGTTGCAGGCCTAGTAAAAATGCAAGCAATTTAATACAATTGTTTTGTGATAGCTATATTCTTCTTGTATACAGAGGTCATTCTGCCAGTGGTTCAGTGGTCCACCTCCAGTCTGACCCTGGCCTCAGTTGAGTCATTATTTAATCCAGGGCATGCCAGAAAATTCAGTGAAAGAACCACCACAAATTTTTTGACCTGTGTTCACCTCCACTTTCATTGTTGGCAATCAAGTCAAAGGCTATTATTAATATGAACAATCCAAATGTTCATATTAATAACCCAACATATTAGGGCTATTATCATAAAGCATCTCTACTACAGTCAACTGGTAAATTGCTCCTCAAAATTAAAGAGAAATAATCTTAAAGAACTATAATAAATTACTCACTGGGGGTTCCAAGCATCTGCTCAGCCTGTTTCTCCTGCCTGGAAAGGTCCTTCCCACCTTGTCACCTAGTTAAGTGCAACTCATCCTTCCCCAATAGGCTCAAGCATCAAATCACCTACTCAAATAATCTTTTCTGACTCAGAGGAGCACTAATTTTCTCCATTGTGCCATCAACCACTGCATTTTGTACATATTCCTATTACAGCACAAATCATTCTGTTGTAATCTGCTTATTCTTTCTTCTAATTTATTACATTTTGAACTACCTAAAGGTAGTTCAAATGACAACTTTTATTTTTAGAAATGCCACAAACTAAGAAGCCTGGCCCACAACTGAATATTTTTTAAATGAATGGAGTACAGTCAGATTTCAGACCCACCTTTTACAATTCTGTTCATTAGGAGACAAAAAATAATTTCCATTAGGAAAACAAAACCATAAAAATATCAATCAGTCACTTAAAAATCAAAAAGGAAGCCCAAGAGTCAAAACAAATAGAAACAGAGACCAACTGAAACTTATTATCCAGTATTATTTGAGATTAGCTTATTTTCTAATTTGAACACAGGAAAGAAAGACAAGTGCACCACCAATGAAAGAACTGACCTATGGAAGTCTAGGTGTCTCAATTTTACTTCTTGATCTACAATAAACTTTACAATGTTATAGAAAAACCGTGTGCAATCAAGTTTTATCGTTTCTTTATCTATAAAACAGAAATGGAACCAGTTCCTTCCTATCACCTTACAGAAAGTACTTTACAAAATCCACATCTCAGGAAGCCAAGCAACCAACTTCTGGCCAGAAAGATACACAGGCAGGCAGGCAGTACCTAAAAGAATTTCATGAAGTCAATTCCAGCATGGTAATAAGTTCAACCATCAAATTCAAAAACTCACCGACAGCACACCTCACATGGGTCCACCCACAAAGTGAGTTCCTTTGGCAAACCCAGGTCACTGTACAAGATGCAGCTGTTCTCACAGGCTTTCAAGACGTCCGGATCAACTCTCTGAAACTTATTAACACGAATGCATCTACAATAAAGTGGAGTCAGGTTAATAGCTTTAACTGAATCATGATCGTAAGTGTCATTACATCTTTTAGTATTTGCCAAATATGAATGGGAAAAAAAATCCTTACAGAGAACTAAGGAGTGTACCTATCCTAGATAATAAGTGGGAACTAAAGGCACAGGCAGCATCAATAAGACTATCCAAGCTGGTAAAAAGAAATGGGCATCTGTGTGAGCCCAGGCAAATCATTAAAACTGATTCTACTTCCAAACAAACCAACCGATTCTACTTCATTTTACCTAGAAACTACTCCACATGTACTTTATGAGCAAAGAGTATGAAAGTTGTATGAAATTACTTAAGAGCTCTAAAGGTATATGTTTTCACAGGCCAAATTCATAAATAACAAAACCTCCAACAAAAGACCTCAACCAGTGTTTCAAATAGTATGTGGAAATTCTCATGACAAATTTTGATCTATCATTGCCTTGCTTATACATGCCAGATAATAAAATTAAGTGTTAAGGATGTCCTTTGTCTTACCTGTAACTGTTGTATAAAACTAGAATTAGTCAAGGACACAGAACCATACTTATGATTAAAATATAATCCAAAATGTTACTGGCTTATTTCATTTAAATTGTTATGCAAGGGTTTTATTTTTAATAGTTGTCAAAATAAGTGAGAGAATGTTCAAAGGTGCTTCCCAATACAAATGCAAAATACACATTAAATTGAGCATTCTACTTAATATAGAGAAATAGTATTTACAATAAAAGTACTTTTGCCAACAACTAAGAAATCAAAAGTACCCAAGTTTTAGTACTAGACCTAGAACTAGTACTGGGTAAATTTAGATTAAACCATTTCACCCCTTTCTCAGATCCAGAGCTCACAGTATGGAAAACACAATGTAATAGTGTTTCCCATAGTAATCACACCATAAATATAATGACGATAGAATAATGTGCCATTTTAAGTTTTTACAAGTTAAATTATTTTATTAGTTGACTTATATTTTCCTTTTTAATGGTGAAAAATATTCTCATTTAATAGCAGCTAATATGCATATTTAAATAATACAGTGGACGCTTGAACAAGGGTCTGAATTACTTGGTCCATTCATATGCAAATGTTTCAATGACTACCTGTACATTATTTTCAATTCACAGTTCTGAAGAGTCCATGGATGCAGCAGACCAACTGTATGCAATGACCTATGCCACTTTATAGAATGAACTTGAGCATCCACAGATTATGGTATCAAGGGAAGTCGTGGAACCAGTCAGTTCTCTGGGGATACCAAGGGCAACTTAAATTTGGAGAGGGATGTCAAAAAGTATACGCAAATTTTGAACTGTGTAGGGGGGTCAGCATTCCTAACCCCCCTATTATTCAAGGGTCAACTGTAAATAACAACTCTTATCTAAAAATTTACTGTGCAATGGACAATTTCCTAAATGTTCTGCATGTGTTAACTCTTTTAATTTTCTTAATTATCTTGACCTAGATACTATTTTCCCCATTTTAAGAAAGAAGAACAAAGAGAATTTTAGTTACTTGCCCAAAGTCACAAAGCTAAAAAGTGGTGAATCCAGGGTTTAAATATAGACCATTAGATTCCAATGATACCCTATTCTGTCGGTACCTATCTTGTCATTAACAATTTAGCAAATTCAGAGCAAAAAAAAAAAATCATTTTACAGCATGCATGATGCTTTTTGTTCCTTTCCATAAGATGGTTCTGTTACACATTCTAATGCTGTGTAGGTTTACTCAAAAATGCCCTGGCTAGTGTGACTCAGTGGACTGGATGCCAGCCTGCGAACCCAAAGGTCCCCAGTTGGGGGCATATGAGAGGCAACTGATGTTTCTCTCCCACTCTTTCTCTCCATCCCTTCCCCCTCTCTATAAATACATTTATTTTAAAAATGCCCATGTAGCCCTCACCAGGTACCTTAGTTGGTTGGAGTGTCGTCTCATACATCAGTAAAGGTTGCAGGTTCAATTCCCAGTCATGACGTGTATGAGAGGGTACTGATTGGTATTTTCTCTTTCCCCCCTCCCTCCCTTCCTCTCTAAAAATCAATAATCACATTCTCAGGTGAGAATTTAAAAAGTTCCATGAGTCCTAGAATCAAAAGGAGTTCAGGATCATCTTAATATGTATTTTTGCTATGTACTGATGTAGGCTATATTCTTAAAAATATGTATCTGCTCCCCAGCTGGTATAGCTCAGTAGAATGAGTGCAGGCCTGCAAACCAAAGAGTCACCAGTTCAATTCCCAGCCAGGACAAATGCCTGGGTTGTGGGCCAGGTCCCCAGTAGGGGGTGCATGAGAGGCAATCACAATGTTTCTCCTTCTCTCTCTAAAAATAAAACCTTAAAAAAATATATGTATCTGCTTTAACAAAATTTATACACCTTACATATTTTATGCTGTTTTTCACTCTATATACTGTGACTACTTATCCATTAACCACTCTTCAAAACACTATTTTAAACATTGTGTAAAAATAGACTATCAATTAATATCACCAGTTTAGTTCTTCCCAACTTTTTTGTAATTACAAAGTGTAAGAAACATCCATATTTATACATATTTGTCCACATTTCTAATTAAGTTCCAAGAATGGACTTTTAGGAGACTTAACCGTTCAAGGGTATGGATATTTTTTACAGATCTTAATAATGCCAAATTGCCCTCCAAAAGCATCTATCTGTATATATTGCAGAGAAACAACTTTAATTTATAAACACTTCAGAAGAAAAAGAATACTTTCAACCTACTCTATGGATTGAAGAGTATACTAACTCTGGTTAATCCTGTCACTGATTCATTTTTACAGTAGTTAATGACCTAGCATTAAGTCTGTTTTCTACTTCAAAGACAAAATTAAGTCAAAGACAAATGACTTAATAATGATAATTCTGATCACATGCCAATTTAATCATTTTTGGCTAACATTTTTTCCCTCGAGTTTTTAGAAGTAATGGAAACTACTTCAAGTTTCCCTCAAGTTTTTAGAAGTAATGAAAATTATACACTGTGTGACCTCTAAGCATTCACTTGACAGTGTCTTCTTTTCTCAGTAATAGTATATGGTGGCTCGGCACTTTCATACACCTTCATCCAATGTCAATGACATACATGTAAAAGCCTCAATAGCTCTAACTCACAAAGCTGTTCATTCTATCAGTAATGAAGATGTACAGAAAAAATTAAGAGAATCAAGTCACAAGATAAAAAATAACTTGAGACTGTTTTATATAGAACATACACATTTCTGCTTTAACTGACCATATTTCCAATTTACCAAGAAAGCTCTTGAGTAAAAACAAAAGGGAAAATAACATCTGATTCTTTTTTCAATAGAACACACACTCATCTAACTTTCAGCAAATGAGAAATAAATTGTATCTTCACCTACTATGTATATTCTTTTAATAGTCTTGCACTTGTAAGAGCTCAGTGACAAAAAGAAGATCCTTTTAACATCACGGCACAAAAGTGCTGGTTTGTGGAGAAAACTTTCAGGATAGCAATATCCATAAATAAAATAATTTCTATACTCACGATAGCCACAACTGTTCTATTTTTTTGTGGCCACATCCAGAAACTGGGCAAGGTTTGATCAATGAGTTTAGCAGAACATTCTCAATCTAGGTTCCCAAGCAGTCAACATCAATAGCAGGGAGTAAGCATGCCAGGCCATGTTTCACAGGAGTCTGTTCTTCTTTACTTTAAGCTATAAATGTAACTTACAACCCAGAGTACAAGACAGCTACAAGTGAGAATTACCTTCCCTTTCAGAGTGGGGTGTACAAAAAGCCCATGAGAATTTAGGATCAGTCATATCTGAGTTCAAATCTCAAAGCTAATATTTACCAGTTGTGAATCATAGGTAAGTTGTCTTCACCTATAAAATAGTTGCAGTGGCTTCTACAATAAAGAATTATGCACAGTACAAATAAAAGTTAATTCTGTGTGAAGAATGTATTCAGTACCTAATCATCTTGATTCCCATTTGCCATAAAATTTCTGTAAAACAGGTAATATGTTTTACATGTAAACATGTAACATGTTACTTTCAGATTCAAGGAGACCCACTTCCCTCAACTCCTACCATGCCCGTTTACGGGTGATAGCTTTACTGCATCCCTAGAATTGTGAAAAACCCCAAATACCTGTGATAAGAAAGGAATGTCCTCAACTAGGAACCAAACTATAACCACAAGAAGGCTAACTCCTATGAGCCGAAAGTATCTGCCTCCCAAATCAGGCAGGGGGACTGCAATAAATACATGTATTTTAAAATAAGTAAGGAAAAAATACCAAGACACCCAGAGTTCTGCTTTTGCAGACAAACTATTAAAGGCATGGACTGGACCCATTCAGTCCTTTGGCCATGCACTCATTTTAGAAACTGATCAGCCTCTTCACTTAGTCCAATCCAATTGTCCAATCTAATACTTTACCTGTAGGCCTGTCCCTTTGAAGGTTTTTCAGGATACCAGTGATTTTTATATTTTTCTTGAAGTATCAGAGTCAACTTCTCAGCAAATCTCTCAACTGCCTCTTTCTTCAACTTATCATGTTTTCGAACTAGCCTTGTGAAAAAGAAGACCACAGCAGCAATTTCGTTCTTCATTTTCCCTGCAAAGATAGAAGTAGTTTTTCTCAAAACAAAATATAAAAAATGGAAGATAAACCTCTGCAAAATATCCCTCCGTGCAGCTCCCCTTCTTTCCAATTTTATCTTGTTTCATTGGCTCATATCTGGAGTGGAGAACAATCACTATCTATGCCACGAAGACTTTATAAAATACTATTTAAGAATCCTACCACTTAGATCTGTGAAGAAATTCAGTAAAAAGAGCACAACAAATCGCTCCTACCGGTTAAAATAAAATCAGAGATATCATTCAGAAAATACTGTAGTACCATTACAGTATATAGTTTTTACTAAATGTGTCAATATTTAGCTGCAATATCTAAAGTTTAAAATTCTGTGTAATAATTTGAATTTTAAAACACAAGAAAAAGTTAATTTAAAATTCAGTATGTTAGAGGCACATTAGAAAACAATTTGGCATTCCTAAAGAGGTTAAAGGGTTACCATATGACCCAGCAGTTCTACTTCTAGCTAGATAATCAAGAGAAATAAAAACATATGCTCACAAAAACTTGTACACAAATGTCTATAGCAGCATTATTCATAATAGCTAAAAAAAAAAAACAAAAACAAAAAACACCCCAAATGTCCATCTACTAATGATTGGACATATGAAATGATACATGCTACAACACTGGGTGAACTGTGAATACATTATGCTAAAGGAAAGAAGTAAAAAAGAACAAAGTTGTGTAATTCCATTTATATTAAATGTCTGGAACAGGTAAATCTATATAGATACGAAGTAGATTAGTGGCTTAACGGGGCACTAGGGTCAGAGAGAAAAGAGGGGTGATGTCAATTAGTACAGGGTTTCTTTTGAGGTTATGAAAATATACTAAAATTGACTGTGATAATGGTTGTTCAACATTACGAATATACTAAAACCAACAATGTGTACATTTTAAACCTATGAATTATATAGCATATTAATTATGTTTCCATAAAGCTGCTATACTCCAGTATAGAAGTGTCTGTAAGCATTCTTTCAGAAACAGACATGACAAAAAGAGTAGCTCTATGAGAACACATTTAAGAGAATGAAAACTTAGGATCATCTATAGAAAACCAAACTAAAAGAAATAATCAGAGATTTAGATGCATTTTATAAGTGCCTCAAGGAGGAGTCTTTAAATGGCAGATCTGATTTATCATTGATTAATCCATAAAGGCAAAAACAACCATGTCCTGGGATTGTTTCGATGTATATTCTGTCTTTATGCGATGAGCTCATTCACTTGGCTGAAGTAACTTGGATTTATTCAGATGCTGCATATACTAAGCAACATCACCTTTTTCAAAGCCAATTATTAAAGACTTACAGCCTCTGCTATGTTTAGTATAAAACCCAACTAACCTGATACTTTGTGTTCTCTCACATTCAAAAAATAAAGGTGATTCTGTTAGCTTCCTTTTTCTTTTCTTAAACCTGCTCTTAGAAGTCTCTCTTCATAATATGATTCCTTTACTCCTTGTACAAATTCAAACAAGGGATCTCACTGTGAAATAAATTCTATATAGTTATCTGAGAGGCGTGCTGGCAGCCATAGCCACCCTGATCCTGGATGGGAAGACACCCAAACCTTCCTCCTGGAATCCTAGAATGCCAAATCCACTTTCTGTGGCCAGGCACCAGGCTGACTGAGCACAACAGGGTGCAGGCGCACACAACCCTCCTACAAAAGCTGTGCAGCTTCCTCCTGAAAAAATGGGAGCCATTCCCATTTTATAAATCTATATACATAACCACCTTAGGAAGGAAATGGAAACCCACTGCGTTTTAAAATATGGTTTGGGATCAAAGTTGGTGATGGAACTACATTAGCCTCCACACCACCGCACAAAACAAGGAACCACAGTCAAGGAAAGTTCTGAATCTCAAACTAGATCATTCTCCTCATTCACTAAGTTTGGCAACTGTGCTCTACATATTTGAGTGTGGGGTTTTCCTTTCCCTTTTATTTTTGCTACGTTTGGTATCAAGAAGAAAAGGAAATAAGCACTTAGTGGTTGCTGTCGGTTGTAACACAAGATGAGTCACACGGAATTACTTTTCTTCCGTTTGAAGCAATGATGCCTGAACAGCTGGAAAGTGGACCCCGCCCCCCAGTCCAGGTCTCCCGGGGCCGAAAGGTGAAAGGAGGTGGGTCTTCCCCGAGTGGGGGAGGGGGAGGGACCAGAAGCGAACGGGGGCCGCGAGATCTCGGACGGCCTCAGTGGCCGCAATCCCTCCACCCACACCGAGAGCGAAAAGCTCCCATTTTAAACATCGCACAGTGACGTCACCCCGGGACTTCGTCACCGCGGAGGCTGCTCCTCAAGTTGTACTTTGTTCCGGCTCCTCGGCTCACCGGGGCGTGCACGGAGCCCGCGAGAGATCCCAGCCCCGTCTTCCAGGAGTTTAAAACTTTGTACTGCTCCCTTCCCTGTAACGCCAAGCTAATCGCGACCGTTTCCAGAAACAATGTCTCTCCTGATAAGACATTGCCAAGGTGGAGGATGCGGGCGCCCGGCGGTGGGGGTGCGGCGCCCGGACCAGCCTCGGCGGCGGGGCGGGGCGCGGCGGGCTCCGGGCACCTGGGGGACCGAGACCCCCGCAGGGCCCGGGCCCGGACCCTCTGGGCCCCGAGACCTGCGGCTCAGCCCTCACGCTCGGCTCCCCGAGTGCGAGGTGAGTAGGCACCAAATACCTCCGCCCGCTCCTCAAAGAACGAGCCGAAAGCGCGTCCGCCAGTGCACTCGGGGCTTCCCGAGTTCAGGGGGAAGGGCCCCGGGGCCCCGTCCCCGGCCAGCGGCCCGGCGGGGAGCGCCCCCTCCCCGGTCTGCCCCGCAGCCACGCCGCCCCCCGACCCCCAGCCCGGGGTCGGGCCTGTTTCGGGGACCCCGTTCCCCCCCAGGCGCGACCCTCGGACAGCCGAGGTCTCCGGCTCCAGACGCCGCGCGGACACAGGAGCGGGCGGCGGGGGGTGGGAAGGCGCAGGGCGGCCGCCCACCCCCCAGGGGAAAGGAAGGACACGTGGCAGCTGCCTTGAGGCGGGTCTCCTCCGTCCCGATCCAAAGGAGGGTCCCGCGGAAACCCCGCGGCAGCCCCCGCGGTCCCCAGCCCCTTTCTTCGCACCAGCCAGAGCCGATGCAACTCGGTTCGATCTCTCCTCCCGGTTCTCTGGCGCGCGCCTCCCTCAGCGAGCCTCCGACGTGGCCGCAGGGGCGCCTGGACCCCCCCCCCCCCCCCCCCCACCCATGTCCACCGTCCCACCATGCCCGTCTCCCCCGGCCCGGCCGCCTCACCACTGCGGCCGGTCTGGAGCCGTAGATAAGGTGGACCCGACCGTCCTCGGGCGGGGAACCAAGAGCGCCGCCTCAGGGGGCCGCCGCTCAGGGGGCCGCCGCTCGGTGGCCAGGAGCGCAGCGAGCTTGGTCCGGCTCGCGCGGCTCCCGCGTCGTCGGGTCAGTGAGCGCGAGCGAGCACAAACCTGAGGTAGGGCGCGGGGGGCTCGCGGGCCGGAAGAGGGGAGGGGCGATGACCCGGGAAAGGGTTGGCGCCGCGCGGGACAGGCTCGCGCGCCTCGGGGGCGGGCCCCTGGGGCGGGGCTTTACTGAGAGCCCGCCCCCGAAACCCCGGCCAAGAAGAACCCAAGCGGACCTAATAGTCCGACGTCGGGGGTAGCCGCGAGGTGCGGTACAGACGTGTTCTGGGGACCAAGCGGATTCCTGCCTTCCGCCTGTTTGCTGCGCAGCGTTTGGGATTGCGCGGGCCACGACCCTGAGCTGTCTGGGTTTCGGCTTCCCTCCTTTGGTCTCTCCTTGCTCCTCTGTGCCCTGACATCCTTCTCTACGTTGAGAGTGAAACTCTAAATCCAGATCTGTAGACCTCCATGTCTCTAGTACCAGGGTTCGAAGGGAAGGGGGTGGCCTGGGCGACATGGACCCTGTGGAAGGGGAGCTGCATTTATAGGCTGATCCTTGACCTCGCTGTGGTAACTGCAGGCATGTCAACTGCGCAGCTGCCATGTTAATTTTAGGTTTTTTAGAGCGCCTACTTGGGCTTGGGCAGGTGGATCCCTCAGAGCAGGGACTACCTGTTGTGTGTGCCCCCCCCCCCGCCCCCTCCTGGCACTGAGCAGTGCCTTCCATAAAGGAGGGGCTCCTGGGGTGTTGGCTGAATGAATGAAACCTTGAGAGTCCAGCCTTTCTGCTTTTGCGGTCCTTTTATTCAAGCATTTCCCTGATACAAAGCTTTATCTTTGAGCAAATACAAATGTTGAAAAAGGTACATTAACTTTCTGAAGAAAACGAGGAACATCTTTTCAACTTTTTATATTGAATTGGGATCATGGTTTTCATTTTGTGAAAGATCTTGAATACACCAAACAGGCCCCCAAAATACAAAGATATTTCTACTTTTAAAAAATTACTATTGAAAGAATGAATTTTCACTCTTTCCTGATAAAACATGTTGTAAATCACGCAAGAACTGATTGGTCAGCTTATAGCTTGACCAGATTTCTCACAGTCCAATAGGCCTTTGAGAATATATTCAGCCCAGCTTCATGAATACTTTAAATTTTTACTACTGATGTTAGTAATTATAGCTTATTAGCAATCCAAAATAATAATTTTTAAAGCAAAAATAGATATGCAAGACCAATACAATACACTTTATTTTGTAAAAAATTATACTCTTCTACCTAGGGCTACCGGACTGGTCAATTTAAAGAGAGTACTGATATTCATACCCTGAAATATTCCAGGAGATATGAGGGTGTTTTCATTCTAGACTCATAACAATCTGATTGAGGTTATTTAACAACAAAAGTTTTTATTGCAGTTTCATAAAACAGCTGGGAAGCCACAAATATTACTCAAAATGTGTTAGAAAATTCCTATAGTTCAAGATTGCTGTTTTGTATAATGTTTAGAAATCTGTGGCCCACAGAATCCAAACTTAGAGCAGTGCCATTTCCAAAAAAACAGAGGCAAGTATCTGAAATCTGATTTCAAAGTAAATTTTTAAGGTTCTCTTAGCCTGAACACTGAAGCATATAAGTATCCAACAACACATCTTAAACACTTCTCTTTTTTCTCCGCCACTGTTCTCACACAAGATAGCTGCTTGTGTGCTTTCAAACTGTGGCCAGGTCTTCAGATCTTTTCCCCCAGCTCTTTTTTTTTCGTTAGTTGGAATCACAAAAGCCCCAAAGAATTGGTCTATCAAGTCTATCAAGGCCAGACCCTTCTCTTTAGGAAGCTGAAGGAGAGCAGAGCTGAAACAATCACATAATAAAATTAATTTTTCTTTCACAGCTGATTCATTTTCACAATGAAATCTAAATGTTCACTAAGATTGTTATTAGATCTAGTTTACTTTTAGCACAAGTGGTTTCTTTTGAAAATAAGCCACCTTAATAGGGCAGGGGCTTTAAAATCATACACCTCTTGTGGTTGTATCCCAAAGTCACAGTAAACAACTCATACACAATCCCAAAGTTATGAATAGCTTTCAAAATCAGGGCTTATTTCCCACAAAATAACTGTAACTCTAAAATCTGTTCATCCTTTGAGTTTAGAGGAGTTAGGTTTTAAAAACAGATTAATCTCTGGTACCATCTTTACCCACATGTCAAGTTGGAATCTGAATATGAAATTGTTACTTTTATAGTGGACAGAAAAAATTCTGTTATATAACATCAGGAAAAAGTGTGCAGCCTTTAGGGATCATTGGAGGTCTAGCAAGTGAGTGGCATTAAAACCTTTTAATTCTAAAAACATTTCAGCCCTGGCTGGTGGGGCTCAGTGGATTGAGTGCCAGCCTGTGAACCAAAAGGCCATTGGTTCGATTCCCAGCTGAGGTGCATGCCTGCCTGGGTTGCAACCCAGGTCCCCAGTTGGGGGTATGTGGGAGGCAACCAATTAATGTTTCTCTAGCACATTGCTGTTTCTCTTCCTCTTTTTCTCTCTCCCCCACCTTCTCATCTCTCTAAAAGTAAGTAAGTAAAACCTTAAAAAAAAACTTCAATATATTTCTTCATAGTTTTCCAATATTTAACTAGTTGGCTAAAATTAAAATAAATTAACCTATTTTCTTTGCTTCAATTTCTTAAATCTCAATAAACTGGCAGCGGTTATAAAAACAAGCATAAAGAAAATTTGTAATCTTCATTATTTTCTCCATTACATCATGCAATGAAACTGACTTCCAAAAGTCACACACAAATTCTCTTGACGAATGAGGCAATGGAAACTGGACACACCAACTTCGTATTTCCTGCCCCAAGCATTCTCCAAACATGTCCTATATTTTTCAGAAAATATGTTGATCCAGTTTCTTTGTTGGCAATTGGTCAGTTTCTTTGTTGGCAATTGGTTAGGATTTGTCAATTTCTGTGAATGAGATTTGTTACCAGGCAAAATGGGATTCGACCATACGGCACTGTAGACAAGCATAACACAATAATTTATGGGGAAGGAAAAAGGGTTTTGTTAACAGGGTGCTCACTTTGGGGGAGTGGAGGCTACCGTGCTCTAAGCCATTCTCTTCTGCAAAACACAGAAATTCCCTTGTTCCCAAAAAAGACTAATTGAAACCCATACCCAGAGACCCCCCTTCATTCTTATGTGCCTTTTTGGTGTCTGAGGCTGCTACATGAAGGGGTCTCCATCTCTCCAGCTCTAGGCGTTCTCTTTCTCTGGACTGCATACTTGTGAGGCCAGTGTCTCTATTGCCCCGCCACAGCTTCCTCCCTCTCCCAGGGCCAAGATGTACTGCCAGATCACTGAAGCCAGTCGTCTGAGCAGCTCTATGCCCTGGGCCCTGCATCCAAGGCTGCTCAAACCCCTGAGACCAGAGGGCTTTCCTGGGAGCAGTCTGGGAACCATGGTGCACAGCACAGGGACACAGCGTCCCTCAGGCCTGCCGCTGGTGGGGCATGAGTCCTGTGTGATCCTGCTCCACACCATGCCAGCAGGGCAATGCAAGAGCCACCAGCGGGACACAGTATCTGTTTCCCCACTCTGGGAGCACAGCCTGTCACGTTGGCTTGGGGTTCCTCACTTCCTAGCAATCTGCCCAGAACCCCTACCCCATTATGGGTTAAGAAAATATATAGGCGGACTGCACATTGTGGGCTCAAGTAGAGCTTCATATTAAAAACTCCTGATTAAAATTTTCCTGCTTGTTAGGAGAGGTACCATTGCTGTTGAGTTCCATTGACAATACTGTCTGGTTCTCTATACCAGCAGAGCAACTGAATTCTATTAATGAGTGGTACACAAATCCCTTCCCTAATTGTTGGGAATGATTCTGCCTGGTTTCAGGAGCTGTAACCCCTCCTCCCCCCATGGCTAAGGCTAAGTGAGCAACCTTCAGACCATAAGCCACTAAGGAGATAAAGCTTATCTCCCTGGTGGGGGGCGCAGATTCTGTTCCTTTTACTTCACTCTGCCTGGCCCCCAGTGCTTGATCTGTTAGCCAATGACAGGTAAGATTCCTCAAGGGAGGGATGACCTAACACAGGCATGATCATGGGGACCCCCAGGGAGGGACTTGGGGGGCTACAGAAAAAGGGAGTGATGGACCCTCTTGGTTTTGACATAGCCTGAGTCCTCATTCTGTTTTCCAGAAGTCTTCTAATCTCTTGGCTGCCTTACTTCCCCCTGGCTGACTTAAGCCTGAAACAATGCTGGAGGTGGGTGCGGCCCTGTGCTGGAAAGGGCAGATTCCCTAGAGCTATGAGGCCTAAGAAAGAATGCATAAAATCCTATGAAACCTACCTTGCTGGTACCCTCCCTTTAAATGATAAGGGACCAAACCCGAAATAACTTTGTTTCCCCAAAGTTTTATGGCCCTTTAGCTATCTGACCCTGACTCAGAAGGAGCCCTCAGAGTTCTTTGAATGTTATCTGTTTGATCATTACCGCCTGACAATGATTCATGGGCTTATTCTGAGAATGTGGGTCTTTGGAACCCCTGGTTGCTTACTGATTATAATAATGCTCAGTGCACTTTGACGCATTTTCGAATTATTTTCCCAGGGTCGTGTGAGAGACCAGCAAGTAAGAAGCTTTGTGGGATCTATAGCAGTCCTAACTAAAAACAAAGGGGGAAAGATAAGAGACCATTCCGTATGGTGTGGGCCTAGCTTTCACTGGGAGATGCACAGACCCCACACCCACGGATAGGTTCTCCTGTGGGTAATCAGGCCTGCACTGTACCTAGACTGCTATGAGACTTGACTTTGCTCAAAGTAACTGAGCAAAGTTACTCAGCCTGAACTGAGGCAGAAAATGTTTACTGCATATCTTTCAAGTAACTTCCTAAAATCCATACTAAACCTTCCAAGGATGAGTGTAACCAATTCAACCACTTTTCCCTTTGCATTTGCAAATATCCTTCTTCTGTGCTGTGATTAGCGGCACCCTCTCCTTTGTTTTCTGTAAAAGGCAACCACCAAAGTGAACCTCTGCATAGTAAATGAGGACCATCATGTAATGTGCCCAG